CCCCCTCCCCGCGCGCGACGCTCCACGGCCGGGCGCCGGGACCGCGCCAGCAGCGGGGGGAGCCGCGGCTCGCTCTCCACCTACTCTCCCATCCCTTTGCCCGCGGCTTCCCCGGGCCGGCCACGAGTCTTCGAACCTGTGAGTCTCACTTTCTGCTTCAGCCCTCAGGGGCCAGGTGTACCGCGGTGGGATTCGCAGCCTCCGCCCACCCACCCTCTGAGGGAGCGAAGCCCGCTCTTCCCCCTTTCCTGAGGCTCTGTGGTATTACCCAATCCTCAGTTTGGGGGAGGGGGACGGGGAGAACCGTGCTTGGCTAGGGAATGAGGGGAGATGATGGCCAATTGAAGGAACCATCCATTCAGGGGCGGGGTCGGAGGGAGGCCCGCCCTCCCTGCCCCGCCCCTCGCTCCAAACTACACTTCCCATAGTGCCCGCTTCCATTTCCTGCCGCACTGCACGCCGGGAGTCCAGACCCTCTAGGCCTTTAAGGTAGTTTAGAACTCAGAGGCTTTCATTTAAGCCGCTGGGTCCTGAAAGTTATAAACTATTACACGCCCCTGTGGTGCCCTAGATAAATGTTTACAAACCGCAGGTTAGTCTGTGGCTACTATAATATTAATCAGCTTATTACTTCAAAGTGTTAAAAATGATGTCTCCGCACAGAAGGTAAAGAACGGTCGCGGAGCCCCCTGCCAGGACCTGGGAGCCGCAGCTTCTTCCGCCCGGGCCTGGTTTCTTCCGCGGATCCTCTGCCGTCATGTCGGCTGCTATTGCAGCCCTGGCCGCTTCCTATGGCTCAGGTTCAGGGTCCGAGTCGGACTCCGACAGTGAGGGCAGCCGATGCCCGCTGCCCGCCGCCGACTCCCTCATGCACCTGACGAAGTCGCCGTCGGCCCCTCCGTCTCTGGCCGTGGCGGTGGACTCGGCCCCGGAGGTGGCGGTTAAGGTGAGTGTTGGCTGCCGATGCGAGGCGGGAACGGGCTTCTGCCCCAGAGCCGCCGCTGCCTGGGAGGGCCCGGCTGGCCTCCTCGGGTTTGGAGCTGCGCTGCTCGCGCTCAGGTCTCGTCTCCCTCCCGGGGGCGTCTTCCCTGGGAGAGGCCGAGAGCGGAGGTGAGGGACAGCCCTCCCTCGCGCCCTGCCCTCCCCTCTGTCCATCAGAAAGCGCAGGGTCGCGGGGGCGTAGTTTCTCGGGTTGGTGCGGGGCCGGCGTGGAGCAGGTGTAATCTCAGAACGTAAAGGAGACTCCATAGGGTTTCCCAGTTAGAGTTGACGTGAGCACTGGCCCGACTTTGTTTTGGTTTTGAAGAACTCCACGTTCTAATCCGCGCTGCACCACTTGTGTGGACTTCTGTGAACTTAGACAAGTCACACAACCTCCTGTTTCCTCACTTGCGCAATGGAGGTTTGATTTGATTTGACTTTTTGACACAGGGTCAGGTATCCCAGGCTGACCTCGCAACTTTCGGCAATCCTCCTGTCTCAGCCTGAGTGCTGGGATTAAAGGCGGGCGCCACGCCCAGCGTTACAATGGAGACTAACGGGATTATTGTGACGATTAAGTGAAATAATTATACAAATAAAGCTCAGAGCCTGATCTCTAGTGAGAGGGCAGTAAATATTAGCTATTGTACTTATATATGTTAATGCAGTGAAGGAAAGGTACTGAATTTAGATAACAGATGATAAAGGGAAAGATTGGGTTATATAGTTGATTGACAAATACTTGTTAAGTACCTGTTCTTTGCCAGGATCTATTCTAAGGTCTGAAGCCACAGAGGCCAGCAAGGCAGACATCCTTGTCAGCATGGGGAAGGTAGTTAATCAAACGTGACCAAATAAAGTAGTTACAGATTTAATTGGGTACTATTCAGGAAAAAAAGTGCCAGGATAGAGACTAAGGGGAGTATGACTTTGATGGGTCGATCAGTGGAGTCTGCTCTGGAAATGTGTCTTGAAAGAATGAGAACCTAGCCCACTGCAGGCAAAGGCAAGAGTTCCCAGGCATAGGTGACTGGCATACCTGAAAAAGCAGAGAGCTTAGTATGTTTGAAAAACTGAGGAAAGGTTGATAGATCTAGAGCCAGGTCAGAGCACCCACCAGCTGGTAGTAGAGCTGTGTGATCAGTTAGTTGAAGATGTAGAGACAGTGTACAAAATTCTTATGTATGATGTCCCCAAGTCTAGTGCTATATTACAGGTTTTTAGTGAGCCATTTACAAGTTTTTATTTTCTATTAATGGACATCTAACATGAAAGAATGCTTGTAATTTTATCTTTATTGCAAAACAACTCTCACCGTTTCTGTCCAGCAACCTCCTAAAGTTTGTATTCCTCTCATAGCTCTTTGGGAGCACTCTTCGCTTCACCTCCATTTTTTTCCTCAGCCCAGTGCAGTGTGGCCCAAGCCTCTTGGGAAACTTCTCCCAGAATGATGTCCCAGGCTTTCCACTCGTCAGGTTCTACCAAGTATTTGCATCAAGTGACACTGTTGAGTAGTTCCTCTTTTTCAAAATGTTCTACGTGATGTGCACAGGGCTATCCTCAGCCTCCTGGTCCCCCATTCTGCACTGTCCTTCAGTATTGGTGTTTCCCAGTCCCCCTAGTCCTCTTTGCATTTCACATATTTCCCCTTATCTTCAATGTCAGTTGACCACAAGTGGCCACTGTGAAGTGGTTAGCACATGCAGAAGTCAAGACCCCAGGATTCAAACCTGCCTTGAGCACTTACCTACATGGTAGGTTTGCGTAAGTCACTTACGTATTCCCTGCCATGTGGTCTGATCTTAGAGCCTTCTCATAGGTTTAACACTACTTCTTATCTCCTAGAATTATAAGAATTGTCATAAATCATGTGAAGCAATTTTAGTAATACCATGCATACAATAAACAAATTAAATGTCAGCTATCCTAATTATTTCCAGTTCTAAACTCCTTGCTAGCCTAAGACGCAATAAATTCTCTCCCAGGATGGCTCTTGGGTACCTCCAATGTGATGTGCTGAAAAATTAAGTTTCTGTCCCTCAGAATCCCCTTCTGTTTTTCCCATTTTGATTAATGATCCACAACCTGCCCGTTAGTGCAAGTCAAGAATGGAAAGGTCATCCTTTACCCTTCTTCCTTAGCCCCTGAAGCTACTCATTCAGCTTGCTCAAATATTTCTATCTCATAATTTTTCTCAAATCAATCCCTCCCTCTGTTTTCATCAGCACAATCTTTATAGTTTACTTATTTCTCCCAGTAATTATTCTTGACTTTTCTTTTTTCTCTCAGCCTTTGATTTTGGGTGGAGTGTCCTGCCTGTGATATTTATTTATATTTTTTTAAATTTTTAAATTTATTTTGTTTTGTTTTGTTTTTCTTCCGGTACTAGGAATCAAACTCATGACGGTACGCTTGCCAGGCAGGCACTTTGCCGCTGAGCTAAATCCCCAGCCCCTCTGCCTGTGATGTTTATCAAATGTCTCTTTGCTCTTCTGCTGCCATTCCTCAGTTCAGTTCGCCATCATTTTTCCTGAAACGAGTATATAGCTTTCTAACTGGGTTTTCTACTTCCTCCCTTCTGTCTCCCAATTCCATACCCCATTCTTTCCTTCACAGAACACCTAGAATGTTCTTTCTAAATTCTGATTTCACAGGTTGCTTCCCTTCCCAAAGACATTATACTACCTGTTAGAGAATTTCCGAGTTCCTTATGTAGCATGGAAGCCTGCCAAATTATTTTTTTTTCTGTCAAGATTTTGCACATGCTAGTGTTTCTGCCTGGAAATCCCTTGCCTTCTGACTCCCGATTCTGCTGACCTTCATTTTCAGTGTACATTTCCTTGTGTCCATCACCAGTTGCATCCCATATTATTTTAGTTCACTCTGCTCTTATTTTGAAACTCCGATGGAATACATTTGTGCTCTCCGATGTATAACAATAACTATGTTCTCGTGTAATTTTTATTTTAATGCAGTGTTGTCAGATTTTGCACCTTAGGAGTTACTATTTTAGCACCTGGCTGGTGGTACCTGCTTGTTATCCTAGCACGGGAGCCTGAGGCAGGAGGATCATTGTGAGTTTGAGGCCAACCTGGACTATATAGTGAGTTTAACGCTAGCCTAAACTATGCAGCAAGACCTTGTCTCAAAAAAAAAAAAGAAAAGCAGAAAGAAAAGAAATTACCACTTGAGAAATGTGATGAGCCCTTTTCTTTTGGCCCCAAGGGTTGCTTGTTAACTGTCTTTTTAAACTTTAAAAAATAATCCCCTGGAGGGGCTGGGGATTTAGCTCAGCGGCATAGCGCCTGCCTGGCAAGCACAAGGTCGTGAGTTCGATTCCTGGTACCGGAAAAAAACCCAAAAAACAAACAAACAAACAAAAATAATAATAATAATCCCCTGGTTTAAATTCTGTTTCTAAGTTTGAAGTTTGAAGTTTCTTCCTCTATGATACAGTATCTCTTACATTTGTCAGCTTTTGAATTTAAATCACTTTTTCCTCCATGTCTGTTAAGGGCCAAACCCATTTTTATCTGGATTTCTGTTCTTTCATCTCATCCATCTAAATTTCTATTGTAGAAATTTTTCTGTTATTTGGTACTAATTTCCAAATTCTGAGAAGAAAGAAAACCTATGCCATAAATCCATAAGTACTTTATAATAACGAGTAATTAGTTACAGTTTACTCTGTGTTTTCCTGTCTGTTTTCTTATGTGGGCACAGGACCTGAAAAGAACCAAGAAATGTTGTTTAGTGTTGTTCTCAGATTGCTTTGAATCATGAAATGATAAACCGTTTAAACTTATTTGACCCACACAGTCCCCTTCAATTACAGCACTTTTTGTGACTAATTAAAACTGAGTAGAAATTGTTTATAATTCTTTGGTAGTCCCAATTGCATGCCTAATTGTTATTGAACTCCTCATGGGTATTAAAACAAGGTTATGGCTTTGTCCAAGTTGTTCTAATTAAGTGCACAGTTAACAATCTTTTATTTGCTGGAGGGTTGTTTAGTTCTGTACTTTTTTTAGAAACCAGAGATTGGGACCTATTTATATTATTTATTAGTCACCATTGTTGCTCATTTAAAGGATAATTTTTAATTGTACTTTGTATTTAAAAGTTGACATAATTCTGCATTCAGTATTATTCAGATTTACAGTATTTGAAATACCCTTAATTGGAAAGATCTGATAGTCCACATTATAAAGTGTTTTTAGCAACTGTGCCCTGTAAAATCTACCAGGAAATGTGAATCCATTTACATCTCTTGTTCTTTTTAAGTTTGTCATTAGAATTTGAACAATAAGAGGGAAAAAGCATTCCATTTCATTTTTATGCAGTATATAAGCTATTTGTAACCTTTCATTTTATAGTAATGTGTTTGATTTTGAGCTCAAGGCAAGAGACTGTCTGTAATCAGTGAAGATTCTTGTGTGCATTCTAGGCCGATAGGCAGCTGTCATCCTTTCAGTATCCTTGCATTTGAGCCCCCTTCCTTAGTAGGAGTCTTACTGTGAAGACCATCCCTGCTCACCACCTGTCTTCACAAGGTAAAAGCCCAGATTCTCATGCTCCAAGCTCTCTTTCATCTCAGTCTCAGACCATAACTTGGGCTCAGCCAAACAGATGCACTCACCTAAACTTTTCTGTTCTATAGCTCGTCCAAAAAGAAGTAAGGAAAGAGGATCTTACATGGCAGTGATGACCAACATTTTCTGTTTCTTCAGGCCGGTAGTTTGAATAGCCAGTGTTCAGTGGCAGCGGTAGCTTTTTAGTAATGATGGTCAGTAATAATAAACCATGTCCGCACTGGATTAGTCAGTGGTATGATTGATTTTGAATTGTGCTTTCATCTTTATACTCACCCTGTATTTCTGCCTTCCTCTCAAAGCTGAATCTCTAGCCTTCTTAGCAATTCTAAGAGGAAGTCATAAGGATTAAATCCTGTTTAATCAACCTGGATAGATTTCTGCTGCATGCAGCTAAGAACTCAGACTGATATGTCTTGTCACTATGCTAACATTTTTTTTTGTTTGTTTCCATTTGGGTCTTTAATACTGTTCTGTTCTTGTTGGACCTTTAAACTCTCTTACCCTAATCATTAGTTCCATTGGAGTATGTGACTTAATCATGGTAATATTTATTTCACAGAAATGCTTTTAAGATTATACAAAATAATGTGTCCGCCTTGGTGCTAGATCAGTAATGTTGTTGAGTTCTTTTTTTTTGGTAGTATACTCTTTTAGCATACTATTTACTGATTGATTGACTGATTGATTTGTAATTGTTTGTCTGCCCCACTAGAATACGTACTCCACAAAGACAGTTACCTTGTCCATTTCTGTTGGTGTAGAATAGTACCGGACACATAGTAGACACACAGTATTTATTGAGTGAATAAATGAGTCTGAAGTGCTTTATGAAGGTGCCCGTTCCCTAAATACACAAAGAAAATACAAATCAACTATGGCTCCTATCATTCCCTGCATCTCCAAATATCTCTGTTTCACCTCAAAGATAGTCCTTTTTTCAAAAGTGAATCTTCCAATTCTTTGAAAGTTGGTATCCTTTTTCTTCCTCCAGGATAACCAGACCTTCAGTTTCCCTCTTTCTCCTGTGCTTCTCCCTGCTGCCTCTTTTCTTTTTGTGGTATGATTGCTTTATTGACTTAGTGTTTTCCTAAGGACGAAGAAAAACAGTTTTATCCTATTCTTTCATCTGATACCACATCTCTTCTGGTTTGGGTGTTTGTTTTTTTCTTTGTTTTCATTTTGTTTTGTTTTGTTTTTTAACCACCAGAAGTCTTGGGGAAAGTAAAGATTACTACTGTATTGCCTTTTCTGTCCAAGTCTTCATTTACACTAATCCCTGGTAACTCTTTCCACAGTCCACCTCAGTACCAAAAAACAGAGGTTTTATGTGATGAAATTGCTACATCCAATGATTTTTGGTCAGCCTTATTCTACCTAATTTCTCTGTGATTTGCCTTTTCTTCTGTTTAATTTAACAAAAATTTATTGAACATGTGTTAAATGCCCTACATTCTACTAAGCAATGAGAGTATAAAATGTAAATAAAAGCCATGTGCAACAAATAATATATTACCAGTGCTGTCAGGAACACATTATTTAGGACTGTGAACAGAAAAGCAGATTTCCTGAAGGAGGAAGAGCTGGATCAGGGAAAGCAAGTAGATGACATTGTATCAAAATAATAAAGTAAATGATAGTGATGCAGTCAGAAACATTGTAGCAACATAAAAAGCATCAAAGTGCTTGCAGTCTTTTAAAAGTCAGGCATGAATGTAATATGGCAAGCAAAAGTATGGACATAGCAAATGAGATAAAGGGGTATAGTGGGCATGCAAGATCTGATGAAGCCCTGTGCTAGGACAGTGGTAGTTGGGATATGGAGAACAGTGGGTAGAAGTGTGATTGCTGGAAAAACACTCACGGTAGAATAAGACTTGGTACCTGGTTTGTTAGTAAAAGTGGAATCATGCAGGGGAACAGTATCTGCTGTAGCATAGTGTTTGATGTTGTGACATCCATACATAATGAAATTCAGTAAGTATTTGGATATGAGGATCCAGAGGCCAGGAATAGGGTCAGGACTGAAAAAAAATTTGCAAGTAGTAATTAAAGTTATGAAAATAAAAAGGTAAAGAAAGAACTCTTTTGAAACTAGAGAGAAAGGAAATTTAAGGAAGTCATATCTGATGGACTCTGTATCTCTGATTAAAAAAAAAAAAAAAGCCTGCTTTGGTTAAGGGCCATTGTAAATGCTTTAACAGTAGTAAAATTTTGGAACAATACCTGTGCCTATGGTATTGTTTTCTTCTGAGCTTTCTAGTCTTCAGTCATTGGCTGGTCTAGGTCTTTGTTTGTGATACTGCTGCTGCTTCAGTATTACTGTTGACTTTGTGAAATCCCATGTTTTGCAAAATTTGCAGGTTTCTTTACATTGCCTTTGCATCCTGTTGTTGGATGTATCCTACCATCAGCAAATGGCCAACAAAATAAAGATGATACTGTGATTGGGATAGTCCTAGGGTTTGATTGTATACTGGTGCATAGCAAATAGCTTACATCTTAGTGGAAGGTGATAGATAATAAATAAATATATGTGTCAGGTGATAGTAAATATAATGAAGAAAAATAAAGCATTATAAGAGGAAAGCAGAAAACATTGAGCAGGGACTTAAAAGGAAAGAGAACAACTTTGTAGATAGTCAAGGGGAGAATATTCCAAAAGGAGAGAAGAGTAAGTATAGAATTCTTGAGGAGGACTGTGCTTTAGCATCTTAGGAGAGTGGCAGATGTGCCACTGAGCACAGGCACAGTACTGGATGAAGAGAGGTTGCCAAGGGCTGGGGCAGATCATGAAGGGTAAATTCTTACCAGTTAGATACAGGTCCTTCATTATATAAAAGCAATTTCATAAGCCCAACCCTACTAAAATATAATTTATACATGATGTATAATTTTCTTAAAGTTTTCAAAATATAACTTGAAGCTCTAACTAAAGGGAAAGCATTTATAATTAAATAATGTATTTTGAATATGCGATTTCTCAGATAGGACAATACAGAAAGACAAAAAAGCCCTGTAAACTACATTAGGAAAATGCACCTACTTCCTGAGAACAACTGTAATGTGCCTGGTAAACCTTTATTAGGCTTTTACTTTGAGTGGTGAAGCTAATGGGGGGATTAGAGCAAAGAAGTAACATAGCCAGCAGCATAAGTGAGGCTCTGGGTGGGCAAGGACAAAAAGCAGTCAGGCTAGTTAAAAAGCTATTACAATAATTCAGATGTAAGATGCTTCAAATGTAAGATGCTGAGTTGAGCCAAGGTGATAAAAAGAGGATATGAGAAGAGGTTGAATTCTGGATGGGTATGGATGGGATGTAGAATATGGAGAAGAAATAATCAAGGATAATTCCACAGATTCTCAGCTGATTAACTGTAAGAATATAAATTGCTATTAATTCAGATTCATTGGCAAAAGACAACCAGGAGTAAAGTGAGATGTCTGTTAGACATCCTGGTAGATAAGGTATGTACAAGGCTCTAGGGTCAAGGGGGAGGTCCATGTTACAGATAGTAATTTGGAAACAGTTGTGTTTGTAAAAGGTGGTGTAACAAAAGATAGACTGCTAATGATTCTTCAGTGAAGATGAGACTTTTGTGTTCATTACTCTGGAGAATGAATTTAAGAAGGTTAAAACAGTGACATGGACTACAAAACTTTAAAAGATTCAATCCCTGTCACTTCCTGTTGTTTCCTATGAAGTACCCAACTGAGTGCCGTCTGGATACACATCTCCACAGGTTACTAAATACAAAAGGAGCTCCTATTTTGAATTTGGAACTGGAGGGTAATAGCCTTTTGAGTTAATTAAAGTGAAGAGTTAAACCCTCTTTTGTAAGGCGTTATATAGTATTATGTTATCTTGAAAAGAAAAAAATTTTAAATTATTTTTACCTGTAAAACTACCTATACATTATTTATACACATTACTTTTGTTAATCTTTGATTATTAGAATTAATTATATGGTACAAATAATCATAGAGTTGGTGTTTTAAAAGGCTGGAACACCTTCTGAATTCATTTGGCTTTCTCTTTAGGAAGACCTGGAGACTGGCGTTCACCTTGACCCTGCTGTCAAGGAGGTTCAGTATAATCCTACCTATGAGACCATGTTTGCTCCTGAGGTAAGTAATACATTCAAGGTTTTGTCCTTCGTTAAGGTATTTGAATTGTACTTAAGTAGATAAACAGCTGTGGAGTTTTTTAAAGTTTTCTCACAAAAGTATATTTAAGCTTTCAGAAAATATGACCTCCCAATCTCCCAGAATCTAAATAGTATGCTTTCTGAGAATATTTTAAAACTCCACTCACTGCTCATCTACCTACATACAAATATCTAGTAATATAGAACTATCTCTAGAAAAAGAAAATTTGAAAATAATCTGATTCTTAGATGTGAACTTAATTGATATCTTTTTCTCAGCATTGATAAGCGAATATTGTAATTAACTATAAAGAAAAAATGTTATTTATTAGCATCAATGCAAAGTATATTATAAAACATTTAGTAACAAATACACAGTATTTCATGTTATGCTAGCACAGTACTTGAAAATAGTCATAGGGTTTGATGCTCTGAGTGAAACAAAGTACTGTATTGAATTCTTTTTTCTTGGTAATAAATGGTGATAGAAAAAAATTTTAAATGAAGAAAAAAATAATTCTTATTGCCATTTAGAAAATATTTTTGAGCGGAATATGGTGGCACACACCTGTAATCCCAGCACTCAGGAGGCTGAGGCAGGAGTTTACCGAGAGTTGGAGCCTAGCCCAAACTACACAGTGAGACCCTGTTTCAAAAAAAAAAAAGAAAGAAATATCTTTGAATATTGTTCATTTGAAAAAGTCTGTAGAAAAATTACACTTCTAGATATTAAAGTTGGAGAGTGCTTGAAAAGAGAGGCCAAGGAAAGGTAATTATAGAGCTGGGCGTGGTGGTACACTCCTGTAATCCCAGCACTTGAGAAGCTGAGGTAGAAGGATCCTTAGACGTTCAAGCCTGCCTAAAGTACATAGTGAGACCTTGTCTTCAAAAAAAAAGACAAAAAAAAAAAAAAAAAAAAAAACAGAGAGAAAAGAAAAGAAAATTATAAACCAGAAACAAACAAGGCTCCAGAAGTGGGATCTTAAAGAAGCACTTTAATGATAAATGTGAGAGCTGTATCTTACTGTATTTTAGTGAGAAATGAGGTCTTTTTCCATATTTTTCATTTTGTAGGACATAGTAATTGTCCTTTTTTGTGATATATCAGGATCCTAGAGCTATTTCATATACTTGGCCTGTCTAGGTTTCACTATGTAGTTACATAAAAGTTCACCATAGCCAAAAATGTCAGTGTTTATGTTTAGATAGTACTTCAGCTGTTCTCTGACTATGCAGCAAGCAAAAATCTCATTCATATGCTCTGAGGCTGTGGTATATTTTAAATTTTATTTCATTATTTCTTAAATTCTTCTTGTTTGTTGAACTAAAGGCAGTCTCATATCCCTTGGCAATATTTTAGTTGGCCCATATAGTATTGTTATAGTTCGGGGTTTTTGTAAGGGGAACAATATAATACAAGACACATATTTTATGTCAGCTTGTCAACTTGTAACACCTAGCTGAATTGAACCAGGTGGTGCTGGGTGTGGGAGGCCCATCTGAGGACTGCTGCTGGAAGCATAAGAGGCAGAACTGGAGAAGAAGAAGGGGGGCTGTTGGGAACTAGTAGAAACTTTGGGGAGCTTGTTGGAAGCTGTTGAGAAGCTGTAGGGATCTGTTGGGTTTTCCTTTTTCTAACCAAGCAGTGTCTCTAAACACAAACAAAATGCAGATTAACTTTCTGCCAAAGCACAGTATACTACCTGGGATCCAGCAGCCAAATGCAGTTCTTCTAATAGAAGCCTCCTGAGCTTCATCGTAACTGGTAGCATTTCCATCAGTACCCTGATTTTCCAGGCTCCAACCAGAGTCTCCAATATAGTTTACAGCATACAGAAGCTGTCTCTTTGGCGAATCTGTCAAAACTTTTCCATATTAATTCCAAAGGCTCTCAAGTCACATGTCCAGGCAACACCACAGTAATAACCCCACTCTTGGTACCAATTTTTTTTATAGTTCGGGGTTTTTGCAAGGAGAACAATATAATTCAGGGTAAATATTTTACAAGGTTATTTATAATAGTCACCCAAAACATCATATACAAAGAGTGTGCAGGAAATCTGTCCACACATTAATGACCAAAGAATCCAGACAAGGGCCTGGATCCCATACCAGTGTCCTGCATGAGTCCAACTGAGGATCTAGAGCCCGTAATAGTGCCTACCACGAGTCCAACTGGATGCCTAGAGCCCATGACAGTGTCTCATGCAGGCCTGTTTCATGGATCTGCACTGGCAAGGCCCAAAGGTCAGTGGCAGAAGCTAGAAGGTCTGTGCCAGCGGGATGAAGGATCTGTGCTAGCAGGCTGAGGGATCTGCACTGGAGCCAGGAAGCAACACTCAAAGTAAGAACCAGAGCTCCCTGAAAAGTACTACAGCCATTCTCAGCAGCAGTGGGGTCCCAAGCTCCTCTGATGAGGAAAGCTGAGTTCCCATCAGGAAAGCCAATGCAGCAAGCTTCTCCAGGAGGCTGAGCAGTGCACCACCAGTTATCAATCCAGTACAAGTATATAACGTTCTGATACTAACTTATTTTTCATAAATCTGTTCTTAAATTTTGAAATATTCTGTGTTACTAAAGTATTACTGTGTTGCATTGTAACTTTCACAACTCTCAAGTAAAATTCAAAAGTTAAAATTTTTATGGTGATATTGATGAGACAGTAGGCCTGCCATTCTCTAAGATTATCAGTCTTTTAGTATTCTATTGGTTTTTTTCCTCATGTTATTGAGCCTCACCTTATATGCACAAAATTTATGTTAGGAACACTTCCATACTGACAGTTTTAAAAAGGAGTGATGGGTTGTAAAAGAGGAGAAAAATTAGAATTTCCCTGGTTGCCAAAAGAATCAGTGATATAATAAATTATGAACTCTTTGTTTTATGACTAGGATCTGAATCATCTGGCAAAATCTGGAAAGGTATCATGAGCAACTTGGCTAGATTATAAATTCAAGTTACTATGTTTTGAGGATCCACTGTTAAAAACAAGATCTAACCCCTCTATTCAAGGTAGTATTTGCCAGAAAGGATATTCATAAGTGTATTTCTTAAAAAGATAGAGATTAGCCTATTTCCTATAATGCCTCTAAAGTAGGATTCAAGTTTAATGGAAAGATTATATGAGATTGTAAAGATAAACAAAAATTCTCTGAGAGAAGTACGTAGTAATATTTTAAATGGGCTGTACAATCCAGATGAAGAACATGAGATTTGGAGTTAAACAGCCTCCATCTTAACTCTAGTGTGATCTTGGATATTCTTAGTTTTCTCATAGGTAAAATAAAGATAAATTCTACTTTGCTGAGTTATGAGGATAAACGAGAGTATATGTTGTGGTTGGGAAACTCTGGCACAGAGTAGGTAGTTCGTATTGTTGAGATTATTAATTGAGTAGGCTTTTATGAGGAAAGATTACAGCAGAAAGGAACAGCTCTGGCCAAAGCATAAAAGGTCTGAAGAACAAGGGAGTCTTAATCATAATGGAGGTAGGGAGATAAGACCAGAATGGTGCTTTGCATGCACAAGCACTTTGGGAAGCAAGGTAAAGAGCGTGATCTTCATTAAACAGATAATAGATTTCTGAGATTCTTACAGTGATATAATCAAACTGAATTTTTAGGAAGGCTTATCTGGTAATGGTTTGCAGGATACAAGAGAACAGGGATAGAGTCTAATAAGTTAAGAAAGCGGTATCATTTCTTTTGGATATATTTCTAAAAATACAATTGCTAGATCATATTGTTGTTTTAATTTTTTGAGGACCCTCCATGCTGTGTTGCCCAGTATCAGAACTAATTTACATTACTACAGTAATGTGCAAACATTCCCTTTCTCCACGTGTTTGCCAACACTTGATATCTTTTTTCTTTTTAATAGTAGCCATTCTAACAGATGTAAGGTAATATCTCATTCTAATGCTGAACATTTTTTCATACACTGTTACTATATTTTCTCTTGAAGAATTTCTATTCAGGTGCTTTGCCTAATTTTAGTCAGTTTTTTGTTTGTTTTCTTGCTATTGAGTTGTTTGAATTCCTTATGTATTTTGGATATCAACTCTTAATCAGATATATAGTTTGCAAATATTTTCTCCATTATGTATGTACATTTTATATAGGGACATTACAGTTGTAATTCAATATCATTTTAGCTAAAAATTTAAATACCTTAAAAATGTTATATAGTCATGTATGTATTTATGAATATATAGGCATATACCGATGTTATATGCTCACATATATTGGTATAAAACATCTGAACTCAAATTAACTCAAACTTAGCTACCAAAGCTTGAAAAGAAATATTTGGAAATCAGTTTTGTATATTGTTTATGTAGTTTGTTTTGTTCTTCAACCCCCAATGCTAACACAGTTGCATATTCAGAGACCAGGATGTTTTTTGAGTATTTGGGGGGACCTGAGTCCTGATGAATAGGTTTCTGCCTCCCTCTCTTGTCATAAATGTCTTTGAAGTCAGGTCCAGTAACTGCCAATAGCCAGACAGGTAAAATGAGCCTGAAATAGATGGATCCTCCTCCCGCCTAGCATGCTCTATCATTAGAAGATGTTTTTTGTTGTCTCAGCTCAAATTTAAATAAAACAAAGCACATTTAAATTTTAATATTGCTTTAGGTATATTACTATGTGTAAAATGCACTTAGCTTTAATATATGGATCTATATTTGTATAGAAATTGCAGCTCTTTAACACTGACAATTTCTTTCTTTTTAAAGGTATGATATATATATATAGCCTGTGGAGGAACTGTTCTGTTTTTATAAAATATTAATAAAATAAGACTGTGGAAATTGCAGTCTCCTTTTCTGAATGCAGAATTACCTATGAGTACAGAGATTGGCAATGTATGTGACTGGGAGTAACAGTAAGGGCAATGGGGATTTTTTTTTTTAATTAAGATTATTGGTACCATTTAGATATACATAATGATCATATTCATCATACAGAATTTGTACCTGTATATAATATATCTTGGTACCTTTTTTTCCCCATTACCTTCCCCTCCCTTCGCCCCCTCTTCCCCTCTGTACTTACAAAACTTTGTTTCCATTTTATCCTTCTTTTCTCATTTTCTTTTCCCTTTCTTCCTTTCTCCCTGCCCACTCCCTAGTTCCCCTTTCCTTTTTAACAATTTCTTTCTATATCACAGTACCTGTTATTCATTTGGGTTCTTTTTTATATTTTCAGTTTCTCACACTAGAGAGATAATTCAACAATGCAAGTGTCCAATTTATTCCACTTTAGAGTGTGGTCTTACAGTCCATCCATTTAGCTATAAATGTCTCAGCTTTATTCTTCATGGCTGAGTAGTACTCCATTTTATTTAAAAAAGCATCTTTTTTCTCCATTCATCAGTTGATGGGTATTTGAGTTGTTTCCAAAAGTTAGCTATTACACATGGGTGATGGTGTACACATGGGTGTGCATATATTGCGTGGTGTGATGCTTTCAACTCTTTGGGGAAGATACCAAGAAAGGGAATAGCTGGGCAAATGGGACCTCTTATTATAGTTTTTTTTCCTTTTTTGAGGAATCTTCACACTGATTTGCACAGTAGTTGCACCAGTCTACACTCGCACCAACAGTGGAGAAGGGTTCCTTTTTTTTTTCCATAGCCCTGCCAGCATTTGTTACTGATTTCTGGATAATAACCATTCTTTATGGTGTGAGATGGAGTCTCAGCATTGTTTTAATTTGCATCTCGCAAATGGCTGGTGATGTTGAACACTTTTTGTATATTTATTTGCTGTTTCTACTTCATCTGAGAAATGTTTATTCATCTCAGATGTCCATTTTGAGGTCTTTAAATTTGGTGGTCTTGATTTTTTTCAGTTCTTTATATGTTCTATATATAGTCCTTTGTCTGAGAAACCACTGGCTAAAGTTTTGGGTTGTCTTTGTACCCTGTTGGAGATTTCTTTTGCTGTGCAAAGGCATTTTAATAAGATGGGATACCAGTTGTTGATTCTCTGTAGTATTTCCCATGCGTTCTGGGTTTTGTGCCTATACCTGTGTCTTCAAGAGTTCTATTTATGCTCTCTTCTGGTAGATTTAGTGTTTCTGTTTTAATATTTGGATCTTTGATCCACTTTGATTTTAGTTTAGTGCGTGGTGATAGACATGGGTCTAGTTTTAGTCTTTGACATGTGGAAAGCGAGTTATTCCAGCACCACTTATTAAAGAGGCTATCCTTCTTCCAGTGACCATGTTTGGCCCTATTGTCAAAGGTAAGGTGGCTGAGTGTGTTTGTAGTTGTTTCTGCATCTTCTAATCTGTTCCATTGATCCTCAAGTCTGTTTTTCTGCCAGTACCATGCTGTCTCTATCACAGTAGCTCTATAGTATAATTTCAAATCAGGGATTGTGATGCCCACTGCCTTGCCTTTGTTGCCTAGAATTGTTTTTCTATTCTAGGTCTTTTCTGGTTCCAAGTGAATTTTAGGATTGTTTTCTTTAGTCTTGTGAGGTATGCTAATGGTGTTTTGATTGGGATTGCATTAAATCTGTATAACAATTTTGGAAGTATGGCCATTTTCACTGTGTTGGTTCTTCCTACCCAAGAGCAATGAATATCTTTTCATTTTCTGCTATTCTCTTCAGTGTCCTTTTTCAGAGTACTGTAGTTTTGGTGTATAGATCTTTTACTTTCTTTGATTCCTAAGTTTTTTTTTTTTTTTTTTTTTTGATGCTATTATAAAACAGGTTGTTTCCCGAAAGTCAAAAGATGAAAAAAAAAAAATACTTCATGTGACAGGACCCCGGAGAAAGACAAGGACAATTATCCTATTTGCAAACAAAGTGAACTTTAAGCTAAAACTGATCAGAAGAGACAGCCTACTGATTAAGGGAAGATAAATAATTTATATTTGTGGCTCTATAAATGTATCATAGGAAAGGTGGTTTATAATTATGATAACCAGAGATGTACTGATGTCAAAATATTTCATCAGTACAGTGGGTCTTCCCAAGTTCATATAAAAATACTCTTTTACATTCATTCACTCTATCCAAAGTGGGAAGTTCATTTTTTAGTTCACAACCCTTTTTTTTTCCACAAATTTGAAGCTATGATTGTGAATTTAAAGAATATTATGATGTGGGGCTGGGGATTTAGCTCAGTGGCAAAGTACCTGCCTGGCAAGTGCAAGGTCATGAGTTCGGTTCCCGGTACCGGAGAAAAACCAAAAAAAAAAAGAATATTATGATGTGATGACATGCTTGTCTAGAGTTCTAGCTCTACTCTACCAGTTAATAAAATGTTTGGCCATCAGTGAAAGACATCATCTTTGCCTTTTTACTTCATTTGTAACTTGAGAAGAATATGTCTAATTTAGCAGGATTTTTACACAAAGTTAAATAGTATTTGGAAAATCATTCTGGAAATTCAGAGCATTATGAATAAATAAATAATAATGGCCTTCCATAGTGTGACTTTTCAAAGTAGGAAAATTTATTTACATTTGTGATGTCTTTTTCTAGGGTTTTTTTTTTTCAAATATTTGATTTTCATTGTCTGTTTTCCTATCCTGTTTCCCTGCTGGGATTCTGATTAATCTTTCCTTCATTAATGCTTTCTCTATGCCAGGCACTGTGGTAAGTATAGATTTTGTGTCTCTACCTTTGAGGAACTCATAATCTAGTGCAGGAGAAACATACTTTCTTTTTTTTTTTTTAATTACTCTGCAGTGCCATTATTGATAAAAGATCACCAAAACTCCCCCATATCATTGTTTAGAATAAAACTAGTAATTCTCACTTATCCAGAGCAACACTGTCAAATAGGACATCTTTCAATGATGGGAATGTGGTAGCCAACAGCTACATGTGGCTGCTTAGCTCTCTGGTGAACTGGGCTCTTCTGTCCCAGGCACGGACACGCAGTGTTAATCAGCATCATCCAATTGCACTACACCATATGAAGCTAGTGTGTTTCCAAGTAGGTTAATCAGCCCTTGATTTAGAATTGAAAATACCCTATATAGTAATTTAATTGATTCTGGCTTTTATATAGTCAGAACTTACGATTTTCCTTCCTTTTTTCTTTGCTCTTTTTCTCATAATATTGCAGTTTGGACCAGAAAATCCCTTTAGAACACAGCAAATGGCTGCTCCTAGAAATATGCTTTCTGGATATGCTGAACCAGCTCATATCAATGATTTCATGTTTGAACAGCAAAGGAGAACTTTTGTCACATATGGTAAGGTTATGGTAAGACTTAAATAGTTCAAGTTAGGCCTTATTAGAAGTATGAGTTTTGCATGCCGCTTTGCCATCTTTATGAGATATACTAAGGAGGTGACATGAATTCAGTTTTACTTAAGTGTCTTTATATAACTCTGCGATAGCACTGCTGGGATATAGAACAACCATTGATCCTATTTTTATACTCATGTTTTAATGTAACATTATTATAATCCCAGGAATAACTTCTGGAACATTTATATTCTGTAATACATTTAGTTTATTGTGGAGCCAACCTGCAGAGTTCTTATCAGTGAAGAGAGTCTCATTTACTTACTCTGTACTTTGGTTTTTGGCTCCTATGTGTTTGGTATTTCTCTGGAGTCTTCACCCCTCAACAATGTATATAACTTCTGTTGTTCCCTGTTTTCCCTTTTCTCCCCCAGTTCCTGGCCTCTGCTCGTGTTACTTGGGCCTTTTCCATATGATCTCTGCAGTCCCTCTGAGTTTTCTCTACACTCTTCTGTAGAAGTGGAGAATAGAATTTTAAATAAATTACTTTAGTCTCACCATGGCCATTATTCACATGAACTTTAACTTGAGTATTAGAAACTGTGTATTAATATTTTTTAATGTTAAAAATGTTGCCGTAGTTTATGTGAGAATTTCTTGTATCATTAGATTTCAAGTTAGTTCCAGTTTGCACATTTAAAAATGTGATGTATATATTATACTGCAATAGAACGCCTTTTAGAATGGTGAGATGCGGGCTGGGGATTTAGCTCAGCGGCAAAAGCGCCTGCCTGGCAAGCGCAAGGTCGTGAGTTTGGTTCCCGGTACCGGAGAAAAACCAAAAAAAAAAACAAACAAACAACAAAAAATGGTGAGATGCGATAGTGAATTTTTTTTTAATGCATAAGACTTCACAGGTTTTTATTACTTTCTTACCTGAATTCCCAAAAGTAAGCCAGAGAATACAAATGTTTTAAAGCTTTTGTTATATATTATTAAATTGCTTTCCAAAAGAATTTTCCTAAATTATTCTACCATCCTCATGTATGAAAGTTCTCTTTCTCTTTAACAAAGAAAAATGTGATTATTTTTCCTTTGTTTATTTGATAATTGAAGTGTTATATTTCTTTATTTCAATTTGATTTTTCTGGACCAAAGAGGCTGAAGATTTTTCCACATATTAACAATATCCCTTTGCAAATTGTTTGTTATTTAGAATATTACTACTGGTAATCTTAAGGGTATAGCAACAAAATTGGTATTGTAGCCATTTCACATAAAACTACCAAAAGGAAGAAAGTAGGCATTAACTCCATTGAAAAGGTAAAATGGAAAATAAACTTAAAAAGATAGATGAGCATGTTTAAGAATTGCAGTGGAGATATATTCATTTATTTGTGAGTAGAAGGGTAGAAAACTAGCTTGACAGAAAGTCTGTAATGTAAGAGTTAGATCTTGTTCTATCACTGACTGATTTCTGGTAGGATACATGACTAAGGATTTCTCTTATTCATAAAAGGAAAGTAATGTTGTGTACTAGTTACCTGCGGTAGAGTGGGCGAGAGTGGTAGTAAGATTTTTGCCACAGAGAATGCAGAACAGGAGGAAAGTGTGAGTTCCTTTCCTCAGGAACAGTACTATGGCCAGATGAGTTGGGATGGGTTGCCTACACAGAGCTGAGAAGGACCAAAGACATCCTTCCTGCTCTCTTCTTCCAAACATACCACACAACACCATTTTACATAAATCTCCTTTCAAAGAATTTACACTCTAGATAAGATTTCATAGTTGAGTTGGGAATTTTTAACTCATGACATGTTGAACTAAATTTTATATGAGCCTCATAAAAGTCACATTAAGAAAAATCATGTACAGAACACTATTCTGTACATCAAAGAAGTGAAAGCTAAAATAACTCATAGGATTTGAACCTGTGATTTCAGAGATTCTACTCCAAAGCTCTTTTTCTGCCATCAAGCTCTCTCCTCTGGCTAAGAACATACTTTAATGCTGAAAAAAAGTATGAGCAAATGAACTAATAGCCAGGTGGTTGGTTCTATTCTTGCATATCATAAGGGTGAGTTGAGCACCTGCATCCTTGGCTTGTTTTAAAAATATGTTTCACTGACAAATCTTTTTTTTGGTTCCCCAAAAGAAACTCCCCTGAATCTTTAGCTAAAAATATTCAAATATTAACACACCCTCTAGGATGTGCTCTTTTTAAAAAATGGATTAGTACATTTTATGTATTGCATTATTGTAATATACATGAGTTATACGCCATAGATTTATCAACAACCTAGCATTCTTTTATAAGGATGATTATGAAAACTTATTATACCAAATATATCTACTTGATAAAAAACTGAATTGAATTTACTAACATAGACTTTCCTTAAGTTTCCCTAGACCACTAAGACTGCATTAGAGTACTAAGTATCTAAGTACTCTATAGCCAATTGAAGTATAGTATTCATGTGCTTGTAGATGTCCTTACTTCTCTTACCAAGGAAATATGAATAAAGAGTAATTTATTAAGATTAGAAGGAAAACTATCCTTATTGAAAATGGCATTTTTAAAACATTAGCTAGAGTTTATGTATTTTTCTTACTATTTCTTTTTTAATAGTTTATATGTTAATAAAGCCCAATAGTATCCATTATCAAAAAGCATAAGGAAATAGCTTGTAAACTTCCTATTATATGATGTACATGTATTTTTTTAAGCTTTTAGAATATTTGAAACTAAAGTTTGGTTTCATGGTCAGAAAGGCTCTTAGTAATATAATGTCAGCATGGTGGATTCAGCCTATAAGATGTTTCTTTTTCTGCTGAAGTTGTTCATGGTCCAGCCTGAGATTTGGGTTAATTGTTGTTAATAGAAATGGAGCTCAGGAAAGAAGTATTATTCCTTTTTTTTTTTTTTTTTTTTTTTTGCTATCGGGAATCAAACTCAGGTCCTTGTGCTTGCCAGGCAGGCACTTGTGCCACTGAGCTATATACTCGGCCACATTATTTCTTAAAGAGGCTATTTTTGACACCTGAGGAGGAAAATGTGAAGTGGGTATATTTGTATAGTAATAAACTGAATTATAAATGGCAAAATGGTATCAGTAATTTGCACTTATTTCCTATAGGTTATGCATTGGATCCTTCATTAGATAATCATCAAGTGTCTGCTAAATACATTGGTTCTGTAGAAGAAGCTGAAAAAAATCAAGGTAATTTATTTTAAATATTTCATATATACATACAATTACTTAAAATTAATGTCTTGCAATAGACAGAAAAAGCTAGTAGTTTATTGAGCCCTTTATTTTTTAAAAAATTGACAATAGAGTGATACAGTTTAGAGCATTATGGTTTAGAACTATTAGAATTTAGAACTTGCTTTTGCTACTCACTAGCTGTGCTGTCTTGTCATGAAAATAGAGATACATAGCTCTCTGGAGTACTTGGCAACAAAGCCAACCCTGTAGAAATCATTGAGTAAATTACAATTTAATGTATATATAATTTTGGCAGTGATTTTCTCTACTTTCACATCAAGATATCAAGTTGAATTTTTAATAGAGCAGAAAAATTTTGTGCATCTATGGAAGTTGTCTTTGAAGGGTCATTTGAATATGAGTTTGAATATGTTCTGAAATAATGTTTGTGCTCATATTCACTATATACATATTATCATAACACAAAGCATCATACTCTATGCTAACCTGTCACAAAGCTTATCAGACCATTGGAATCTTACCTATAAAAGTAATTTTTAAAAAAGAATGTTCTAATTGCCCAGGAAGACTTCCACTTATTAAGATAGATGATCAAGCTGCCTTTTGTGAAAGAGCTAGATGCTTGTTACATTAGAATTTAGCATGCTTCAGTTATAACATGAAGCCTAAAGGAAACTGATTTGAATTAAATAGATCTTTTTCCTTTAAATTAGATTTCTGTGAGCTACTTGTATATGTAACTACATTCTTAATTTTTGACCATGACTTTCATAAACCTTCTTTTTTCCTATTTAATGGCCATTCAGAGGTATCACCTCCTTTAGACCAGAACAAAACTCAGAAACTTCCTCCTTATTTCTTTTCACTGTAAAGACTAATGATCTTAGAGGTCAAGTTTAGACTCAGATTATGTGGAAATTCAAGATTTTTGTGAAATCTTGTATAATTTATAATGTTAAATTACCTGTGCAGTAAAGGTAAGTATTTACTGCAATTTAATTTAATTCCATTTTTAAATGACTATAGTTTATTCTTGGTTTCAAAGATAACTACATCAATATTTAGCAATATTGAGTTGCTGGGTTTCTTTCAAAACTGGTGAAAGTCCACTGGCATGGGTTTTTGAGTCACTGAAGAGGCTATCTGTCATTGTAGGATTACAAATCTTTTTTTTTTTTTTGGTTTTTCTCCGGTACCGGGAACCGAACTCACGACCTTGCGCTTGCCAGGCAGGCGCTTTGCCGCTGAGCTAAATCCCCAGCCCCCACAAATCTTTTTTTAATATACTAAAATTTGCAGTGATATAGTGATGCAGTGATGCTTCCTCCCTCCGAAGATTGAAAACCTTTCTGTATAGTATGGCTTGGTGTATGGGCAAATTCATGTTGATTTTATCTTTGTTTTTGGTCACTTAAACAGTCACCTTTCTTTCACCATAGATATATTTGTCATTTTAAGCTTATCTTTAATATAGGTTTAACTGTATTTGAAACTGGCCAGAAGAAAACAGAAAAGAGGAAAAAGTTCAAAGAAAATGATGCATCTAATATTGATGGTTTCTTGGGACCATGGGCAAAATATGTGGATGAAAAAGATGTAGCCAAACCTTCGGAGGTAAGCTTTGATATTTTTCATCTTCAGTTCAGGTGAGCACTAGGTCTCTGAAGTATGTGTATATTAATAAACTTGGGATTTCCTTAGAGAACCAAATGACTCATCAAAATTTCTCTGTCTTCATTGAGAAAATGCAATAAAATTTCTTTTTCTTACAATATTGATATTTATCTTTTTTCTGCTTTATTTTATACTATACTTTTTAATTAGAATATTGAACAATTTTTAGTAAAAATCACCTTAATAATTCTTGAACTTGTTGTCTGGGAAACACACTTGTAGCTATTGCTCCACAAAAATTAGACCTCATCATAAAGACTTCATAACCAGTTTTGGAAGTGATGAGGTGCTCAAACATTCATTTTAAAATTCACTTTCATTTTCTTAGGAAGAACAAAAAGAATTGGATGAAATCACAGCAAAGAGGCAGAAAAAAGGCAAACAGGAAGATGAGAAACCTGGGGAGGAGAAGACAATCTTACATGGTAATCTATTTTTAATATTTTTTCACGTTTATGAATTTCATATTTACTGTTCTCTGCTTATATACCAATGGCCCTTACTATCAGATGCTTTAAACTCATTGTATTCAGTATAACTGTGTTCAACAATTTGTATCCAAAGAAGTCCCATGGCAGACTCTTCTTTGTACTAGAAAAAGCAGCATGATTAATGTTAGCTACAGATAATTCTTTTTGAAGTGTTAGTGAGTTTTTAAAAAGTCATTAAAGAGGAAATTTGAATGGTCTGTAATCTGTTCTTTCCTAAGATAAAATTGAGTCTTTTGTTATATTAATAGTGCCTGTCACTTAACTGTTTTTAACAAAAGCCAAATACTCAGTTATTATCACAGTTTATACTATTACTATATTAAATTTTAAAAGAACAAACTGTGTTTTTCATGTGAGTAGATTGAAGGTTACTACTGTCCTATTTGACTTGTAGAAAAAAAATACTTAATGTGCTTGTTTATTAATAATCACACTTAGGAAATTACACAATAATTATCTAAAACTGTAAAGAATAACTCAGCAATGATAGTGTTACATATTCTTTTTTTTTTTATGGGCTTATTGCAGACCTTCAATTCTTTTCTTTTTTTGAAGTTTATTTAAGTTTATTGGTACAATCTAGGTATATATAATGATTACATTCATTATAGGGAGTTTGTATCTGTACATGATCAGGTATATTGATTCTATGAGGCTATATTTGGTTCTCAAGCTCCAGTTTTATGTTCAAGGAGTTTTAGTGCTATGGTGCTTACAGCCACAATAGCAGTAACAGAAAATCTTCTTCGTTGCACACCCACTCTGTGCCAGGCGTGCTGCTAAGTGCTTTCTGTGCAGTATGTCATCTGTACCTGATGACATCTGTACCTGTAGCTTTTATCCAGGCCTGATGACACAGCCCTGTAATCCTGGCACCCTGGGAGGCTGAGGCAGAAGGATCACAACTAGGAGCAGTTTCACAACTTAGACCCTTTCTCAAAATAAAAAGTGCATGGAGGATATAGTTAGTGTAAAGACCCTGGTTTCAGTCCCAGTACCAGATAGGAATGAGAGAAAGGGGACATGAAAAGGAGGAATGCAGAGGAACTAGGAAGGAGTAAAAGTGGAAAACTAGGGAAAGGACGTTTTCTTGTTTTTTAACTTCTTATCCTGTTTTTCTGCTTCTTTACTGGTGACTCACAAGAACCAAGTGTTACCTTTCGTTGCTGCACTATAATTATGCTGCAGTGAGGTTTTTCCTTTTTGGGTTTTTTTTTTTTTCCCAGTACCGGGAATCGAACTCACGACCTTGTGCTTGCCAGGCAGGTTCTGTGCCGCTGAGCTAAATCCCCAGCCCCCTAAGTTTTGTTATATCACTAAGGTGTGTGACTGAGTGAAAAAAAACCTATCTTATTTAAAAGTCTGATCCTCTGAGTATTTAGGAACTTCAAAATGCTACCTCTGATTGTAAATGATTGCAAGTATTTCAGGTAGCTAGATTTTAGCTAACTCGATCTTGACACCATCACCAGAATGTTACTACCTAAGCCTTAGTATGGACAGTAGCCCCAAGAATGAATAATTGTTTGCATTTTTAAGATACAGATTTCATGACTATGCTTATATTTGTTTATTGCTTTCTTTTTCGTTTGTGTTTCAGTTAAAGAAATGTATGACTATCAAGGCAGGTCCTATCTTCACATTCCTCAGGACGTTGGTGTTAATCTGCGGTCCACTATACCACCTGAAAAATGTTATCTTCCCAAAAAACAAATTCATGTGTGGTCTGGACACACGAAGGTAAGCAAGTTGGTTGTTTCTGCTTACTGTAAAGTTGGAATAGTGAAGCCAATGTAAAGTTCCAGCTATTGATGGGAACGGTATGTCTGATAAAGATGCAGAGATGTCAAGACGGAACAGGGAAGTCAGATCACAGGTAACTTCAGTGCGAGGCTTTAGAGATGGCCTCTTGTATCAGTCACGATTAACCAAGCAGTCTCCAGGGCCGCCTGGGTTGGCCTTGACACCAGCATTCATGGGTTAGTGTCCAGCCCCCTCGCTGTAGCCCAATCCTTAACCCACAAGTTGCTGCCACAGTCTTTCACTTGGGCACCAAGTCAGCAAGCAGTGGGCTGATGCTAGCATCTAGTCTCTTGCTCAGCTTCAGTGATGTTGTTTGGTTCTTGGGATTATCACATTCCAGAGGTAGTGTTCCTGGTCGATAATCCACGGTACTACTTAAACTAATGTAGACACAGGGAACATCAAAACTTTTAATACTGATGTTCTTTGTCATCTGCACTATTTTAACTGTTAATTTCTAGCTCTTTGCAAAGAGCAAAGGGATTATGTAAAAAAGAAAGGAAAATGAGTGGGGGCATTAGCAGTTTGATTGACTCTGGACTGCCATGGGTGAGGAAGTCAATATTAAAGGTTAAAAAAAAATCTTCAAGAGCTTAGTGTCAACAATGCCTTTCCCTTGGAATACTAATGAAAGTTATTCTGGGCCATGATGTTTGGAAAAATAGCAGATTAGGTTGCTTAAAATACACTCTCTTTCTATTCCTTCATATCTAGCTTTTATTTTAAGTCCTTCAGGTTAATAACTATGATACTTTTTCACAGGGTGTCAGTGCAGTAAGATTGTTTCCTCTTTCTGGCCATTTATTGCTGTCTTGTTCCATGGACTGTAAAATCAAGGTGAGTTTCAGTCACAGAAGGAGAGGACTGTACCGTGAAGCTGTTGCTTTGATTAAATCTGTTCGGTTATTTATAAATAAATTTGGGGTTGTTGGGCAATTAATGGGCTTTTTTTTTTGGGTACTGGTAATCGAACTTAGGACCTTGCACTTACCAGGCAGGTGCTTATGCCGCTGAGCTATATCCACGGCCCTTGTTAGGCAGTGAAAGGCTGATTATTTTCTCTTAGGCCCTATGAATTGCTAAACTGCTTTCCAGACTTGTAGATTCAAATATGGCTCTGTTGTCCAGTTGGCGAGGCTCGTTAAAGCTTGGACAACTGATGAGAATGTAATCCTATCACTTTGGCATTAGACACATAAATACTTAATCACTAATAATGCATTTTTTATAGAGGTTTTGGGTATGTGACTGAGTTCATTTGTTTTTCAGAATCATAGGAGATAGAGAGAGACCATGATAAAAATCCCGTTCTTTGAGAGTAGGCAAAGTAATTCATCCTTTTCCTTCCAAATATTAGTAGATTTTGAGGAGCAGAAACGCTCCGAGTCCTTTCCCCCACTTGTTACAGCCTCAGGAAACTCCATCTCTGCCTTCTACTGAGCTCTTTAGTGTGATTATAAAAAATTAAAAAACCATGCATGTCACCTTGAGTATGTAGAAAGCTTTGAAAAAAAAAAAAGCTTAAATCTGAAAAGATAGTTCCTATCCTTATTGTGTCTTCACTGTGTTCAAATCATTTGCAACGCCTTCGTGACCAGCACTGTAGTGCTTTTATGGCTTGAAAGTTGAATCATTAGTTTTATCATTTTTAAATAATTCATGAATATTAACGATATATAATGGTAACTTCTTTTGATGAGAATAGCCATTTAGACATTTATCTCTAATAGAAAGTTTGTCTCTAAAGTTTTTAGCAAAGAATTCTTACTTTCTTTACATTTCACCTTATACAAACCATATTACTTGATATTATGATCATCTCTTTAACTAAAAAAGCATAGATTCAATTTAGTTCAGTGCTATAAACATTGTTAGGTACCTATTAGGTACAGGGGCCTGGAGATAAAAAATTACTAAGATACTATCCCTGCCCATATGTCAGTCATTCTGACATAAATGATTAGTATAGAGGCAGAGACAGGTGTAGGTATTCTGGTTTAAAAAAGGAAGCATACCTCAGTAGGGTTAAGTAAAGAGAGGAGGAATAGAATTTGGGAAGAGTGAATAGAATGAATCAGCATGGTTTGCACTGAAAAATACAACAGTTTTGTGGTTGCCAGAGCATGAAATTTAAGAGACAAAGAATGATTATAGTCTTAGGCAAGGAACCAGGTCTCACAGGTCCTTGCCTGGCATGCTGCAGGAACTGAGACTTTATCCAGTTGGCCGTAGGCGGCCAGGAAATACTATTTTCAAGCACTAGTGACATTGTGAAGGATTGGATTTGAAGTAGGCAAGAATAAAGGTAGTTTTGAAGCTTTGTATTCATCCACTTTAGAAATGATTAGAATTATGAACCCATTATTTTAGTCTAGATCATTATTTTCATACAGCTTCTAGAATATTTACTTCAGAAAAACACTCCCCCCAAAAGCCTTTCAATATCAAAATACTAATACACATGGCAGTTTTAATAACATTTAATTCCTTTTAAAGGTAGTTAATACTGTTATAAAAGTAGGAACCTTTTAGCACAGAAAATATATAAAATATAGAAAAAGAACAATAAGAAAATGAACCCCCCTGGATTAACTTCATCCATAGTTCTCTTGATATTTTGATACAAATATCTTTGTATCACTTTTGATGTAAAAATTTCTAAAACTCTTTAGTTATAAGGGTGGGTATATGTATGTATTCCAGAAGGTAAAACACAGACTGACAGGACTAAGCAACATTTATTAAGTAGCTCTTCTGGACACACACAGATACGCACACATCCCACCAGCACATGACTATTACTGCTTAGCATGCATGATGCCCTGGGTTTAAGCCCCTGCACCAAAACAAATTTTTAAATGTTTCCATTATTTTTTTCTTCAGCTATGGGAGGTTTATGGAGACCGGCGCTGTCTACGAACGTTTATTGGTAATACTTCTTTCTTTTCCTTGGCCATAAATCTGTTTGGAAAGACTTTCTAAAGTAAGATGACATTATAGACAGTAATTTTACTATGAAGGAAAATGTTTATAGACTTGAGCTGACCCTGACAGAAGGAGTAAGTCTTCTCAGGTGGACAAAGAGAATTTGGAAATAAGAGCTGCAAAAGTGGTATGAGGAAGCATGCTGATTTGGGGGAATAAATATAATGCGGAATTGCCAGGATACAGGTAAGAGACAAAAATGGAGGAAAGTAGTGGAAGGGGAGCAAGACAGAGGCTCGTGTATGTCATTCATATAATTTAGACTTTATCCTATGGGCATCAAGGAGCCATTGAACGGCTTTTTCAGCAAAGTAGCATGATTGGAAGTTTACAAAGACCACCTGGCAATCTGGAGAATACCTTGATAGAGCAAGCGTGAAAGAAAAAAAATGAATTGCACAATTATTTCATTGTTTGGAATAGAAGCCACAAGAACCTGAACCAAAGCAACAGAGATAAAGAAGGAAAGAACTATTAAGAGTGCAGTCAGTGGGATTTAGTGATGAGTGGTGAATGGTGAAAAGTAGGACTCTGGAATGACCCAAGTGGCCAGAAGAGCATGGTGGCATCCACCAAGGGACAGAACATGAAAGGATAATGAGGTTTAGACCATTGCATCTGAGCTGCCAGTGGGATACGGACGTGAAAATTTCCAGTGACAACAGCCAGACTTTGAGCTTTTCAGCAAGGTTAGGAGTTGGCAGCTGAGGCATAAAATGATCAGAATGAGACAACTCAAAGAAGGGGGCCAAAGGGAAGTCAGCTGTGTGACATATGAGAAAGGTTTACTGCCTTTGTCATTTCACGTGAAGGCTAGTTCTCCAAATTTAACTGCACCACAGTGAAATTCTGTAAGTCATAGTGGCGCTGTTTTTAGATTAAAGTGGGAGTCTGTTCAGCTGTGCATTAAGACTTTAGGGCCTACGCCTGAGTAAATACTATCCAAGATGTTCTGCAGCCTGAAGGAAGACACATGGAAGGCTGTGTCCGAGGAACAAATTGTCTTCATCAGATAGAATGGGTTTGGTCCCCATCTGCCTCCAAGACAGCAGACCACTTTTCAGTGGACAGTTGGAATTCTCTTCCTCAGAGGACAGTGGCAGCTCTGCAGGACCCACACTGTGGGAGGAATGCCTCATTGCCACAGCACATGCAGCCTTACCAGAGTTTGGTGGCGGCTGCAGTGGTGGTTCATGCTGCATGTGGTCAACAGTTTGTGCCACCCACATTTTGTAGTGGGGGTGGTGGCAAGTGGGGAAACTTTCTGCTTTTGTTTGCATTTCTAACATTCAAAAGAGTTGATTGGTCTGGCAAGATAGATTTCCAAATGAGGGGCTGGGGATTTAGCTCAGCGGCAAAGTGCCTGCCTGGCAAGTGCAAGGTCGTGAGTTCTGTTGCCGGTACTGGAGAAAAACAAAAAAAAAAAAAAGAAAGATTTCCAAATGAGAGCATCATCAGTATCTTAAAATTAATCTATTGTCAAAATATCACCTTAAAAGTTAATATTGCCAGGTGTGGTATCACACGCCTATAATCCCAGCACTCGGGAAGCTGAGGCAGGAGAATCATTGCAAGTTCTAGGCCAGCCTGGGCTACAAAGTGAGTTCAAGACCAGCCTGAATGGCATAGTGAGACCCTGTCTCAAAAAGACCAAAAAAAAACCACTAAGATTATTTTCAAAAGACATAGTCCCTGAGATTCTGAATCAGTTTCTGTGAAGGTTGATGATGTGATCACAAAAATAATTATTGAACAAGGGCTACAGTTTCCTGAACTTAAGTTTTAAGTCATTTTGTTTTCACTTCCAGCCTGGTGATCACTCTGAGAGTAAATCTCATCATTGCTCATTAGAAATAATTCATCTATTATGTTTCTATAAATTCCTGGCTGTTTAGTCATCACTTGTCTGTACTCCTTAGTAAGACATTTACAGAACAGGATTTTTTAAAATTAGACCTTTTCTCTTGATTGTTACTGAAACATGCATCAAAATCACCTGAGGAGCTTCTTAAAGGGAGAGAACCACCCACTCTCCACAACCCACGCATAACAGACTGTGAAACAGAAAATTAAAAGATGTGGTTCCAATGATCGTGACTTAAGCTTCCCTTGAAACCATTCTTTAATGCTGTTTCTCTTTAGGACCTTTATGAAAGTGCAGTACTTGATCTCACTGCTGTTTCTGTTGGCTCTACCTTTAGGTCACAGTAAAGCTGTTAGGGACATCTGTTTTAACACTGCAGGAACCCAGTTTCTCAGCGCAGCCTATGATAGATATCTTAAACTCTGGGACACTGAGACAGGTAAGAGTGCACTAATACGTAGTACATCTTTGTCTTCCAAGTTAGCACTTATATTTGAACAGTATGAGTGGTTTTTTGTGGCAAAACAGTACCTGCTCTAACCCATTGCTTCTCAACTAATATCACAAAATGTCTTTATAGAATTGAAACTCAGCTATGTCAGCAACTTTCACTGTGAAACTGTCCCTACAACATGAGTTGATAAAGCAAATATACTGTACCTAATAGAAGCACAATGTCTGATGAGCAGAATTAAATTGTTCAAATTGATTAAAATGTAAGTCTAAACTCTCATGGGCCAGTTGGTTTTACATATTTGCCACCACATTGATTCCATCAGTATTTTGTGGCTAGTATAACTTTATTTTATCAGAAAAACCATTTTTTATCATACTGAATTTTAAGAGTAATGAAAATACAGGTAGCTAATGTTTACCTGGCTGGCATTATGCTAAGCATTTACATGCATATGTCATTCAATCTTAATATATTCCTATAAGTTAAGTACCATCATTACATAATAGGTGAAGAAACTGAGGCATAAAGGTAACTTTTCCATTGCCCCACAGACAGAGTGCAGACCAGGGTCTCCAATGTCAAAGCTTGTGTTTTCACCTCTTTAGTGACCACTCAGTTTTGACTACACACTGTTACCATTTGAAGAGCCTGAGAATCACTAAGATGTAGGTCCCACCACCAGAGGTCCTTACGTGGTTGGTCCAAGCTGTGGACAGTATTATTTTATATAGAGCCAAGGTTGAGAGGTGCCCCCCCCCCACTAGCAGGGTCTTTTAAAAATCAAAATATATATGTAATAATACTTTTTACTTTAGTATATATATACTATATATATATATATGCTTAAATATTCAGCAGTCTTTTTTTTATAAACATATGTCTAAACTTGTTTTAAATATCACAAGATCAAAGTCTAGAACATTTCAGTCGCTCAGTATGGGTTTCTTATACCCTTTTCCAGTCTGTCCCCAGTGACCACAGTGGCAACTCTCATTCTGGGTTGGTTCATTTTGCCTCATTGGGACTTCTTACAGATGGAATCATACTGTATTTTCTCTTTTGTTTCTTGGTCCTTTCACTCAGTATAATATCTGAGAGTTCCTTGTGAGGCTTGTACCAGTAATTTATTCTTTTTTATTATTTCAAATGTCCCTCTGTATGAATGAAATTATAATTACCTATTCAACTTTTGGTACTACAGATTAACTTTTGAAAAATTATTTTTAATCATTAAAAATATGTGAAAAGAAACAATGTAGTTTACAGTAAAAAGTAAGTAATATGCTCTCCTCAATTTTATTAAACAAATGACTACTAGATGTTAAGGCCACTGTCATCCCTAAATGGTCAAATTTATTTTTGTTTAATTTGAACCTTTGTTTTTAGGACAGTGTATATCAAGATTCACAAACCGAAAAGTACCCTATTGTGTCAAATTCAATCCTGATGAAGATAAACAGAATCTCTTTGTGGCTGGGATGTCTGATAAAAAGATTGTGCAAGTAAATCTTTTTGCATTATTTATTAAGATTCCTGAGCTTTGTGTTATAACGGGGAATGGAGTACAGAATGTTAACTCATTTAATGTTTGTTACTTTTAGGGATTCCTAATGTTCTATACATAGTAGAAAACAATCAATTCATAAAAATGTTCGAGATCTTTTCCCTCTACTTTCCAGAAGTACATCTTCATTGGCTTTCATAAACCCACTCCACTTTTGTCTTTTCGTCTTCTTGTTTGCTGTGCAGTGGGACATTCGAAGTGGAGAAATTGTTCAGGAATATGATCGACATTTGGGAGCTGTCAACACCATTGTTTTTGTTGATGAGAACAGGAGATTTGTGAGTACATCTGATGATAAAAGCCTAAGAGTTTGGGAATGGTAAGTTTCCCTCAGTAGAAAATGTGCTTTGTGTAGAGCAAGAAATTAAAAATTTGTAGCTAAAGACACAGGCTGATAATATGAAACCATTTGAATATTTTTGGGACTGTGAACCTCGCTAGCCAATTAAATTGTTTTTAATTATTTAAGTAACCACAATTTGGAAATAAAAATTGAAGCAGACCACCCTTCATGGTCTTAGATAATCTTTTCAGAGGATGTTCATTTTGAGATGCTTTTCTTACCATGATGATAGATACTGTATTATGGTATCTTACATTCTTTATGTCTTATTCATCTTTGCAAAATGACCAGCAAGCAGACTGCGAGTTATGCTTTATGCTATATCAAGATTGAGCATAAGGTCCCAGCCTCAGAACAAACCCCAAGAAAAACCTGATGTTTCATTTTTTTATGTCTGTTTTCTGATTATTCATTACTTAAAGTTGCCCCATATCAACACATCTGTACAAATGTTTTGCTTATAGAATACAATCAGAATATATTGGTGAATTACGTTTTTAGAGGAAAAGAATCATTTTTATAAAATCAAGAAATACTAAAGCTAGTTTCATTAAGTATCATAGATCATGTTCTATAATTTAGTTGCAAAGACACGATCTTTTTGTTGAAATAAATGTGTGGTTCAAACCCAGCTTGTGTTTATATTCAGTTATGAAGCACAGCTCTCCTGTGATTATAGCCTTGCAAGGACTAGAATGTACTTCATACCACCCCCAGAAGTTGTTATGCTTTAGGAAAAAGTGGGCAGCCTGGAGCCATAGCCAATGGTTTCCTCCTCAAACCAAATCCCTTTGGGGAGCTGAGCAGGTCCTCACCATTGTCAGGAAACTTTAGATAATCAAAGATTTAATGTAATTTAACTGTACTTACGCCTACACTTACACTACCACCACACCTTCAGATTACTCCCAACTATTAGAGTTAACAGGGCTTTATATGTAGTCTTCATACATGAGATGTGTTCCAAAATACAGTAAATGTTTAAATTTTTAAAAAATATATTGTAGTAAAAGACATTTGCTGTTAATCCCTCTCAAAATATTTCCCCTCTCACTGAACACACTTACGTCATCATTCTTGCCACTTTCTGAAGCAGTTGTGGAAGTCCTCTTTTGTGAGTGTTTTTAGTTGTGCTGTTACAGCTGCCTGAGTGTCCTGAATTGATTCAGAATGTGTACATTTCATGGTCCTTTTGACTTTGGGGAAGAAAACCAGAAGTCACACAGTGCCACATCCATTCAAGAAAGTGGATAAAGACACAGCTTAATGTTTATTTGACAGAAATTGGCATAAACATTTGAGTCAATTCAGGACATTGGGGTAGCCATGACAGTGCAACTAGAGACACTCATGAAAGAGAACTTCCACAACTGCTTCAGAAAGTGGCAAAAACGATGGGATAGTATATTTAAGTGAGGAGGGTGGTCATGGGGGGGAAATCAATGACAGTGTGTCTTACTGTAATAAATTTTTTAGCTTAAACATTTACCAAACCAAAGTGTGATCAAACATTTGATCATACTTTGTGTAGTATCATCCTAAAGATTTACAGTTTGAGAACTGCCTTATAACTGAAACCTTTCTTGTTTCAAAATGTTTTCATACAGAGACCCTGATATGAAAAATATGTTTTATATAAACCGTCTTAGATGATTTGCACAGTATTTTCTTAAACATATGTATACATGTTTTGTTTTATATATATTAACAGTTTGATTATACTCAAACATACAGCTGTTTTTACCTTCAGATGGTATTTTAGCTCCATTTTAAAATGTAGAATCATGTAAAGTAAGTTGGTATTTAAATTACGTACCAGTTATAGAGATTAAGAATGCTTGCATTTTCTAAAGTAGAACATTGATGGGGCTGGGGATTTAGCTCAGTGGCAAAAGCGCCTGCCTGGCAAGCGCAAGGTCGTGAGTTCAGTTCCCGGTACCGGAGAAAAAAAAACAAAAAAACAAAATAAAGTAGAACATTGGCCAGCAAAATGCTTTAAAGCAAAATGCCTTTCTCAGGTCTTGGTACTCCTAAAAGGTCATAATACTGTTTTGTTACAAATCATGATACCCTTTAGATTTCCCTGTACCCTTATTGTTAGAAGTCATCCCTATTATATCAGTGTTTACTAGAGACATAGATATAGCACAAGATACACACATGTACCAGAATCTACAAGATTGGCTTGCAGTGCTTACCCACGGAGTGAGGTGTGGGAGAGCACAGAGGGTGTCTGCACGCTGGAGACCGAAGATCCTGTCAAAGGCCTGGAGCTCATTGCAGGGCCCCGTGTGAGTCCGCGTCAAAGCGCCCATGGGTCTGTGATGGAAAGGTGAAGAGTCCTTGCTTTAAGGCTGAAGGATCTGCACTGGAAGCTGAAGAGTCTGTGCTGGACCAGAGGATGACATCCATGGTGAAGGTGAAGACTGGAGCTCCTCCAAAGAAACAGAAGACAATCTGTCCTTCTTCATTTCCCTTTTATACCATCCAGGAGACAAGCTGCCCTCGAGTGGGTCTTCCCACTGGGATGTGGGATGGCTGAGCCAATTTAGTTGCGCCTCTCTTACTCAAGTTGATGCACTCAGTCAACCATCACAGCTGTTGCAATCACTAATGACATTACATTTCTGAAGTGCTTTATATTTGCCAATATATGCTGAGCATTTTTACATGAACTGTTTGCTTACTGTGCAAAAGTTTTATGAGTTATTCTCATTTTTTATATAAGGGTACTAAATAGATTTAAGTAATTTGTCTAAGATTATACATTCACAAAAGGGTCAGAATTCAAACTCAGGTCAAGTGATTCCAAAACTTGAGTTCTTGACTGTTGCTGGATACTTAGGTGAGTGAGGGCACTGGAAAGGTAACTTCTATCTGGTTTGATTAGTGAAAAAGCAATAAATGTAAGGATCAGTTTTTCTACAAAGGGAAGTAGGAAGGAGAACCATCTCAGTATCTCCCAAAATACAAGTGATCCTGGCAGCTTGTGTAGAGGGGAGGCCCTAACCACCTCAAAGTGAAAGCTGACCCTCCTGCAGGAAAATTATCAGCACAGGGGCCTCCAGATGAATGGTGTTTACCAAACTTACATGCTCTGTACCTACTTTGACTGGCAGTGATCTAAGAAAACAAACCTAAGGAAACTTGGCTTTCTTAAACAGATTGTACAGTACAAACTAAGACAATTGTGTAGTTTTGAAGGAGAGTTGGAGGTTATATTAGATATTCAGCAACTGTGGTATTTTAATTGCTAAATGCATGAAATGTAGACATGTTTTCTCCCAAAGATAATTTTTTTAGTAAAATAATATTATAATGAAATTTTACACAGGCTGATAAATATTACTGTTTTTTTTTTCATTTTAAAACAGCATACACCTTTGTTAATTTCTTTTATGATTTCATTTCTATTGTTTCTAGTTTATTACATTGAATTACAATATCTAATTAGAATATAGTGTTGTTTATTAAACTACTATATGCCTAACAGACATTTTTACTAGAAAAAATGAAATCCATGGGATAATTCAGACTCAGTTCTTGTTCTAGAGCTTGTTATACCAAGATTCCTTCAAGTAAGGGTTCATGTGAATTTTTGTTCATGTTTAGTACAACATTGATTACTATGAACCTGCACTGTGGTTAATTTAAAAAATGCTCTTGTGTTTCATTCCATATTATAAAAATATTAGCCCACTAACAATACATATGAAGAGCAAAAAACATGAAGCTTTTTTACATTGAAGCTTTTTTTAGTAGATTTGGGTCATTGTGAATGTCGGTTCTTACTGCTGTTTTAGAGCGTAAAGGGTTGGTGATCTGACAAATGTTGTTATTTCTCTGGTTATATGTGAAATGATTTTCTTCTAACCAAGACCTTGATAGAAGTTTTATCTAGTTATTTGTTCCCTCTTCTGGATGGTTGAATACATGGACAGAGAAAATTCCTGCATGAAGCAAATGATTACTGTTTTCTACTTAATGACATGATTGGAATTTGAACTATAGCTTGAAATTGAAATTGCTCCTTCATATTCCACCATTCCTCAGATTACATTTCCCACACATCCCTCTGTAAAAAACATTGCTAGTCTCAGGAGAAGCAATAAGATCAAAATTCCTTTCAGAATTACTAAATTTTTATAATGCAGAATTTAAGAATAAAAATGTGCTTCAAATTTTTGAGGGTTCTAAATTTAAGTGACTAGTTTTGCATTTTTGTTGTTTTTGTTTAATCTTTTATATTACTCACATGAGTTTGTTTGTTTTTAATGCTTTCTCTCCTGCACCACATGTTTAAATGCTTTACATGTAAACCAAAAATAGTCTAGGTACCAAGCACCTAATCTTTGTGTCCTTGGTCACTATTTCAAGATACATTAAACCCGTTAGCTGATAGATCCCTACAGCTCTGCCTGCTATCAAGGGCTTTTTAGCATTCTCAGCTGCTCACAGAGTAATGTGTTAGGGTTGATTAGCATGTAGAATAATGTTTCCCCTAGGCTTGTTCCAGTGACTTGCTTCTGCCCACTATGGTACAGTTTTTTAAGTTTTTATTAGTACATGTGGACAAATGAAATGAATAGGCACTTCGCAGAACAAGTAAAAATGATAATAAATACATAAAAATATGTTCAGCATCTCTGGCCATTAGAGAAATGCAAATGAAAACAACACTGAGAGTCCATCTTACCTCAGAAAGGGTGGCTGTCATCAAGAAATCAAATAATAACAAAGGCTGGGGTGGGCTGTGAGGAAAAAAGAATCCTTTTACATTGTTGGTGGGAATGTAAACTAATTACCACTATGGAAACGAGTATAGAGATTCCTCATAAAACTAAAAATAGAAATTCCATTTGACCCAGCTCTTGGCCTTTTAGGTGTCTTCCCAAAGAGTTGAAGACATACATGTATACCTATGTTTATGGCAGCACAACTCATAATAACTAAATCTTGAAAGTTGCCTCTATGTCCATCAACAGATGAATAGATAAAAAAAAATGGTATTTACACACAGTGGAGTACTATACCGTAAAGAAAGATGAACTTGAGTCATTGAGTAAGTGTATGATTTTAAGAGCTTTTATTTAAATACTGTTCTTTGCTTCAGAGATAATTCTTCTAAAAGTCCTTTCTAAGATTACTTGTTCTGATGTACTATTTTAAATTTTTAGGGATATCCCTGTGGATTTCAAGTATATAGCCGAACCTAGTATGCACTCAATGCCTGCAGTGACTTTGTCTCCAAATGGTGAGTTGGTACATGGAATGTGTTCTTAATGAGCTTCTAAGACTTGTTGTAATTGTTACACTCATTAAAAACTGTGGTCATCCCCCTTTATGAAGGGTTGCACACTGCCATACTTACAGCGGAAATCTACTCTTTTTTTTTTTTTTTTTTTGGTACCAAGAATCAAACTCATTACCTCAGGCTTGTCAGGCAAGCGCTTAAGCTGCTGAGCTATACCCCCGGCCCCTAAATGTTCGTTTCGTTTTGCTTTTTCGGTACTGGGAATCAAATTCAGGACCTTGCACTTGCCAGGCAGGCGCTGTGCCACTGAGCTATATCCCCAGCCTACTGCCATACTTATAGAAGGAAATCTTTTTAGTTTAGAGATAATGACTGCTTTTCATATGTGAGACACCTCATCCGCTCTCATTTTGAAAAAAAAATAATGATTTACAGCTAACATTGCCTGAGCATCTAAGAATTTCATTCTGACAATCAGATATTTGTTTTTGTTTTAATAATTCTGCTTCCAACAAATCAAGTTCAATAAATCATTTAAGAAGCTTTTCCAAGGGGCTGGGAAATTTTGGTATGATTATGCGTAACGAGAATACCCTGGCAATTCACTGTAAGAGATCACAGCAAAAGTAAAAAAGATAAGTCCTTTTAGTACTGTTTCCTATTTAATAATCCACTGCCTTTTAAGTACAGTTTTCTTGTGCTGCAGACATACTGACAGTATACCAATATAATTAGAGCTCTTCATAGGGCATTAAAGGAGAGGATCTGTGGTTTGGGGAACATCATCTGTGTACCTACCGTTAACACCCAGAGCGACCATATGTGTCAAACAGTGATGAGGTAGCAAGGAAGAGCTTGATTCTCCACCTGGGCATCTGCACAGGCAGACTGGAGACAGTTATCAAATGCCCATCATTCTTAAGAGCAGCCAAACGGAATCCTGCTTGGATAAGTACTGTGTTGCATCCTCTTGTCACTGGAATGTACATTTCATGAAATTTTATTAAACTCCTGTTTCAGATATTGTGCCTGTCTTGGATAAAGCCTTTTACTTGCTCAGACAGAGTTAACGAGTATGTGGAATACAAGTAAATACTGCAGTCTAGGGGCTTTGATGTATTCTGGGTAGATAAAAGCAACACGCCCTTTCAAAAACAATTACTATAATTCATTAATCATATCTTTTTTTGGTTCACTTTTATTTGATAATCCTATGTTTTCTCACCAGAGTTAGTCTTTATTTCAGTCACCACAGATAGGGGTCTTTCTTCCCATAGTTCTGTTGACTAAACTTACTACAAATTAATTTTACCTCCCAACCTTTTAGTTCTCTTAACACTAAACTTGGGATTTGTGTATTTTTTTAAAGAAAGAAGTTTTTATACAAAGAGTGCTCACTGAGAATAGGGTTACAAGGGTAGAATCCATTGCCCTATATAAAAGAAGTCTTGCCAGTCACATTGTTTGTAACACTTCACAGGCAGCATATTAAATTTACTTCCTAGTATTAGAAGGTATTTGGAAGCAAAAGAATAATGACAGTGAACATACTTAAAATAGTTTTTTTAATTTTTCAGTCTCTCTCACGTCTCCTTTATTGAATGTACAGGTAAATGGCTAGCATGCCAATCAATGGATAACCAAATCTTAATTTTTGGAGCACAGAACAGATTCAGACTGAATAAGAAAAAAATTTTTAAGGGCCATATGGTAGCCGGCTATGCTTGTCAAGTGGACTTTTCACCAGACATGAGGTAAGTTTAAATCTTCTGATCTGTTCTCATATTCAGATATGACAACAGGATAGAAGTTATTGTTGTACAAATAACACTTTACAAGTCACTTTCACATATATAATTATATGAAAATTGCATAGTATGTCAAAATGCCAGTAAAAGCAAGAACAAGTTATAAAAATTACATTTTGCTTTCCTTTAGGTTTTTACTCCAACATATCTCCTCTTGTTAGTTAGGTCTGTGCCCTTTATCAGCTGGTAAATCCCTGTCCATATCACCGATGCCTTAGTTTCTCTTTTCTCAGCAAGGCTAGGAGTACTGTGATCACTCCAGTGCTATGATTGAATAAATACTAGAAGACTTAATTTCATATCACAGTATTGACAGTTAATGATTTTACTACAGCTTGTTTATGTTGAAAACTGAAATCTACCTTTTGAATATTTCTAGGTCACACTGTATTTGTGAGGTATATAGTCTTGCTAAAAATAGAATCCTTTCATTCCCCCATTCTTAGTTAAAATATATAAGTAGAAGAAATCAGAAATCCCTATAAATTTGTATGTTTAGCCTGGCAACTGGACCTTACACTCCTATTCTGATTCAGACATAGATGTATTCAAAGAATAATTATGAAGGTACAGGTCACCACAGTAAAATGTGTCCCACTGGCTGTATTAAAATTGATTCAGGGACACTCTATGACTGTTCAGAGACTGATTGGGAGACATTTATTGTGGCCCCTGGGATTCCAGTCTTCCCAATTAACAATAATTTTCTAAGATACATAGTTCATTGGTAAGTTATTTTGTAGAAGCTCATATTATAAACTATTTCATGTTCTACCTTATTATTTTGAGTGTTGTATACACTCATTCATTTCTTTTATGTTAAAGTGAAGAGAAAACCTGTCACTGTTCTTTTTTTTTTTTTTTGGTTTTTCTCCGGTACCGGGAACCGAACTCACGACCTTGCGCTTGCCAGGCAGGCGCTTTTGCCGCTGAGCTAAATCCCCAGGCCCCCTGTCACTGTTCTTGATCCACTTTATCATTTAGCAGTGCTTTGAATAATTTACTTTCTTTCTTTTGGCAGCTATGTGATTTCAGGAGATGGAAATGGAAAATTAAACATTTGGGACTGGAAGACCACAAAACTCTATAGTCGATTTAAAGCTCATGACAAAGTGTGTATAGGTGCAGTGTGGCACCCTCATGAAACATCTAAGGTCATCACATGTGGCTGGGATGGTCTCATTAAATTGTGGGATTAATGAGTTTAGTCCTTAAACTTTCTAGGATCATTTTTGATCCAATGTCATATTTAACTATATTTAATTATTAAATGTGTTGAATGACAATTTGATTTATAGATAATGTTTTCCTTATATGGCCTTATGAAGTTGGCTGATTGTTTGAAAAAAAGCTTTGTAAATTTGCCTCCTATAATGTCACTGGCAATTTCATTTTGCTCTTTCTGGATGTTATTTATACAATGAATAACCATTGACTTTCTATTTGATAAGTAGTTATTGTTGGCAGGCAGTTTAGACTTAATCCCTATGCATTACCAAAAGATTCTTTTTTTGGTTTCAAGAAAGAATCACTACTAGATTCAGGATCCTCTAGGAAATAATGTAATTAATGACGCAGGAAGGTACGCTGTACTTACCTACCTGTTCAGTCGGGAGGGCAATAAAGAACAAAGATGATGTAATCTAATGCATATTTGAAAGCATAGAACCACCTACAGTTCCTGTTCCCATTACATTCAGTGGGTCGAGATCTAAATCTTTGGCTTTCATGAGTTCCACTCTTTTTTATGACATGTGTTGTATATTTTTATTTGCAAATCAGTAACCTTTACTACACCATTCCTCTAATCATTAAACAACATAAAATAAAAATCAGTCCAAAGTTCTTTCCTTAACTTCCTTCCTGGTCAGTATACACAGGCCCTACATATTTAAGCAGAGAATTACATTACTTTTGAAGATGGAACTCAAGAGAATGAGCCAGGGCTTTGCATTATGTTTATGCTCACTGTCAGCGAGGACCTGGCTACACGAGAAGAAAGCGGCGTCCCGGGTCATCGCTTCAGCAGTGTTGCTCCCACAGCCCTCCTCATAGAAGACAGGGTATGAAAGCATCGTCCAAAGTGCCAACTTACAATTTCTTTGAACTCATGTTTTTAAAGTTACACTGGTTTTGAGTACAAACACATACAGCAGAATTTTTAAGATTAGAAAAAAAGTATTTCTTTCCAAATCTGGAAAAAATTGATACAAGATGAGTAGGGTTTCCCAATTTGGAAAGCAGTGACTCTGATTTTTAAAAAACACATTAAAAGTTTCATATTATAAAATCAAGATGGCCTCTTGATTATAGTAGCTCATAGCACTTCAGTTTGACAAGTTACTTCTCCTGTTTTATGAACTCTTACTAGTGTTTGAATGTGGTTGAAATATATCAGTACCCTGCTACAAAACAACTGGTTGAGAGTTGCTCAGAGTGCTAACTTGGGAAGCAAAATTATGTTGAACATTGGTCATCTCTGAGCATTAAGCCCCACGCCTTGTTCTATCACAGGAGTGCATGCTCCTTGTCTTCAGAAAGCTTCCATTTTTAAGTTATAATTTAAATCCTGGTCAAACAAGCACAGTGGCACACGCCTTATTTTCCCAGCATTCTGGGGAGCAGAGACAGGAGGATCACAAATTTGAGCCAGCCTGGGCAACTTAGCAAAATCTGTAGAAAGGCTGGGGACATAGTTCACTGCTACTGCCCTGGGTTTCATCCCCAGTACTACAGAAAGGGAAGTGGAAGAGTTGATAAATATGACCATGTCCCGCTCCACATATAAATAAATTTTAAAGAAAACAAAAGCAGGAAATAAAAATAGAGGTGTACTTTTTGACACACATGCATCCAAAGAAATAGAAGCATGCTGCCTAGCTGCTGCCATTTCTTTGTATCGATAGCCAGGAAGTGTGGCAGCTAAGAGGAAAAACTTAAGGCCTTTCTTCAGTTCTAACCACTAGCTTAACAAATGTGAACTATTAAAATGTGGTGGGACAAAAAGAATCATACATCTAAACTGTTGTTTACCAGTATTGTTTATGTCGCAAGTCATAATTTCTAAATCTGGATTTATTTGTGTTTTTGACTGTTTCTAAACTAAGTATCTGTATATAAAAGTTTTCTCTTTTAAATATCCTATTTTTGAATAAAGCATTTTTTGTAGAAAGCATTGACATGTTTATCATTAATTTCCCTTTAAGTCTTAAATATATTGACACACCACACACTAAGCCATTTGTAGACTTAAATGGGTCATATGGAAACAAGTGAAGTTTTAGAGGTGGGTGTGGTATATTTCATATATTAATGGGGTTATTCTGATTAAATGATAAAGTACAAGGCAGTACATGCAGGGCATTTAGCGGTATACTGAGTCACGGTTACACCCCATTTTAGAGTACACAAATGAGCACAGCTTTCCCCAGCATAAATGTTCTCAAGATCTTAACTGCTGCTGGTTTTCAGTAGTGACCATGCGGTTCCTCTTCCTGACCGCAGCCTTTTCGTCAAAGTTAGAATGAAAGTGATGCTTTAGTGAAAAATTTATTTGAATGAATAGTTAAATATTGAAGCACAGTTGAAAATATTTTGTGCTAACTAAGGAGCCAGTTTTAAAGACTAGGGAGAAACATCAATTTCTAAGTAGAAACATATAGAGCGGTTCTTGAGGACAGTGTTTATACACTGCCTACAAGAGAAATACTGAGCACTTAGATGACAGTTGTAAGAATCATAGCACCAGCAACGCACAGAGGCTTCTAGAAGGTCAGCGTGGACTGAACCTGGCCTCAGTATCACCTCAGGATTATGTAGAATCATAATACCAAGATGTGGGATTCAGAATAATACAGGGAATCATATGGGGAGCGTAATGAACTCAGACATGGGGAAAGGAGTGTAAGTGGCATCCGGGTCACAGGATCCATTAGCAATCTTAAGTGTGGATCTCCATATAAGACCTGGGCGATACTGACACCAGGTGCGTGTTTTTCACATTTGACATCTCTGAATAGGACTATGGTGAAAATCACTGATGTGTCACAGTTTAATGGGCAGCATTCATTCTTAGTGGATTATAAAATGATTGAAATACAGACTACGCAAGGTGAGCACCAAGAAGAAAAGATCAATGGAAAAATGGCTGCTGTAGCATTTGGCTCAAAATTCATGTTATAAAATGTTTATTTGATCAGTGGGTAAATAAACAATGAACTAACAAAAGATGAAAATATAGGTATATAAATGTAGGTACACACATACATGGCCGACATAGAGATTGCTGCTTCTGTTAGGTAGTGTAAGGGAAACGCAGCTACTCAGATAATGCTGGTTTCATCCTTCGGCAAAACAAAACCTGTACCAGAAAGACATTCTCCTGATCCCTTCCATCACTTCCTCTGTGGTTCTTTCCCACACGGAAACTTCCTTGACTCATACTTCAGTCTTGGGAATATGCAATGTCTTTTATCTTGATTTTACTTTCCCAAAATGTCCATTTTATCAAATAAACACAATGTTACTTGAGTCATTTGCATAAAAACAGCCCCTGCCCTTCAGTGTGGAAATAACCTCCTACCCGGATACAAATTGTGCCTAAATTTAACAGTAGGGGAGAATGATCCATCTAATTTCCAAAGGGGTTTCTAACGCTGGAGAAAAGTTCAGTAGTAAATGATGATGAAATAATTCTAATGTAAAAAAGCTTTTTGTGCTTATCTCCAGCAAATACTTATGGAGCACCCTTCACAGGTTCCATGGTAGGCGCTGGGGCTGCTGACGCACACAGACAGACACTGTGCAAGGAGACCCATTAAGATACAGAGTGAGGACAGAGAAAATGGAGGCCACTAGGGAGGAAGAGCGGGAACTAAAGGGAGGGCAGTTGTTCCTCAGCAAATACTTTGGACATATTTATAGAAAACATACAGAAACTATCTTGCAGTACAGTAAGTCCCGAGGGATCCCAAGGGACCTCACATTGTGCAGATTTTGAGACATGAACAAGTCGTGGAAGTAGCTCACATTAGATCTGACATCAATCCTTGAGAAATCCATTGTAATCAGATACTTATTTCTTTCTATCCATACATAGTTATGATTTCTCACTAATATTATAGAGCCCACTTGGACTTTTATAAATGCCCACCCTGGAATGGATGCTGCTATGCCCCACCACACAGTGACAATTATGCAGAAGACAAAGCAGAATAGGAGCTGACACAAGGCTGCATCAAGGCCTAGTGGCCCCCTCTAGTCCTGGGTATTAACCTTTAGTCGCTCTATTAATCAGCTGTGCACTAACCTTTAATTGCTCTGTCAGGAAGGTCTAGGCATCTTACGGGAGGGGTTACAGGGGAAGAGGACCCCATGGGTCACTTAGGACCACAGCCACTTGCAAACACTATAGCACTACAGTAAGTCCTGAACTTAGTCCATTCCTGGAGAATGTTTGTAAATTGGATTTGTTCAAAAGTCCAACAAAGTGAGTCTTACATACATTTGACACAGATACACAATGTGTATTGCTTTGTGCTTCCTAGCATCCCCTCCACATCACCACTGCTTTTCCTCCTGCTCCCGGACACCCTGGGCTCTGACTGAGCGCTGTACTCCTGCACACTATTGCACTGTACAGTGAGCACACAGCAGCACAACTGTGACAACATCCAGCAGACCCATGAGCTACTTCCACGACTTGTTCATGTCTCAAATTCTGCACAATGTGAGGTCCCTTGGGATCCCTCGGGACTTACTGTACTGCAAGATGGTATCTGTATGTTTTCTATAAATATGTCCAAAGTATTTCATGGAATGTACTTTTTTCAAATTAAATCAAAATTACATATTCTTATCACATATAAGAATGTTATCTGAAAAAAATTATCTGAGTGTATATGTAAGTATGTGGAATGATTAAATCAAGATAACATCCATTACTTCACATGCTTAGCATTTTTAGGGGGTAAGAGCATTTAAAATCTTTCAGCAAATTTTGAGTACACAGTTCATTGTCATTAATTACAATCCTGTTATTCAACAGATCTACTGGTACCTATTATTTGAATAACAGTCCAGTGTACACTGGGCTTCTCTATTGAAGCAGTCCAGCTTAGAATTCAAACTTGGACCCCACCCAAAAAAATCCCTTGCTTCAATTTTACAGTACAAAACTAAATACTAAGAAAATGTTAGTTACACTCATTGTATATGAGACTATAAAGCTACTGGTTTTAGACAGCGTTAGTTTTAAAACGTTAAGGACTGGCATTTTCCCATATAATTCTAAACATAAAGTGTGCTGACATTAACCCTGTACAGTTTAATTTTTAGGGACAGAGATGATAAAATTATTCAAAAAAATATAATCTTTAGGCAGTTTAAAAAATATTGAATCTCGGTTATGAGTTCATAGAACTAAAACTCATCTCTTTAATGTAAGTAAAAGAAAGATATTTTGGCATCAGGTAAAATTTACAAACTATCAGCAATTGGCTAGTACAAAAAGAATTGTTATTACTTAAAAAGCAAGCATAAATTTATCTCCAGCAGTAAAGAACAATTATATTAACTGAGCTTGAGGGTGCCATTTTATTATGATGTAGAAAAACACATTTAAATGAGGCCTTTATTTTAAAACTGGCCAAACTATGAGCCTGGCTTGCCGGTTTAATCCAAACTGTAAAGTCCAACATTTATAATTAAGAAATTCAAATCTTGGACAGTATTTACTGTAAGATTTTACAACCAAGGCAGAAAAGCTTACATGAACAACACTATATATTCATGAGTTTACTTTTATCCCTGATATAAGTATTGGTGGACCTTCAGTTTGTTCATTTTTGCTAAGGTAGTTTTTCCCCCTCTACACTAATAAGGAGGCAAATCAAGTGACCTTCTGATGCAGCATATCATGCTTGGTAATGTTTATGAGGCTGTGTGGTGGTGGGATCCCAGCACAGTCCTTGTGGGACCCGACAGATTGAAGCATGGATTCCTATTCCACAGGGCCTAGTTGAATATTTTGAATAAACTGTGTAACTTCTCAGACTTTCTCTACCCGTACAGTTGGAAACATTACACCTCTTTGTTGGATTATTGAATTAGGAACGATTTATGCAAAGCACCTGGCATATTGTAAATAGTAAACCTTGTGTTTGCTTTTTTGTTGTATTCCGTTTATGCTCATTTTGTGGTGGTTCTGGGGGTGATGGCTACTGCTTTGTCCGTTCCTCCACAGAGGATCTTGTATTTGCCTGTCCTTTACCTGCAAATACCAGCACTACAGCAGCTTGGCCCTCCTCCCACAGCCCACATCAGTACTTCCCCCAGTGGATAGTTTTGCCCTCCCGGGCACATTTGGCACTGTCCGCCGGCATCTGGTTGTCACAGCTTGAGGGGTGAGGCTGTGGCTCCTGCCAGCCAGTGGGTGGAGGCCAGTGACACTGCTGATCATCTTATAACACCCTCTACCCCGTCAAAGAATTGTCCAGTCCCCATTAGCAGTAGTGCTACGGTTAAGAAACTCTGGTCTCCCTGGTAAACACAATCAATTCTAGAGGCAGGGAAACCCTAGCAACCACTAGTTTATCATCATAAATTTCAAACTGCCCATGAAGGGAATAAGCATACATAAAAATGGCCAACTATTGAACAGTCTGCCTGGTAGGTGGGTAAGGGTGGGTGTGTTTGTGATTTATTCTTCTTAACAGTACATCCGTTCTTGCTTTGGATATATATAGTGTGAAGAAGTTAATGTTCTGTACAACCAATCTGGATTAATTAGCTAACTTCTTTTATACATAGGAGCTTCCAGGAATGCCATAAATCTTCCACTCTGTGAATTAAAAATCTTAATACCAGTATGGACATATCTAAAAGTTGATCAGACTACACACTTAAGACTAGTACACTCCACACTTCGGTGAATATTTACCATATAGTGTATAAATTTTTTATGAAAAAAATCTATAGTGTAATCCAAACAGAACTGGACTACAGTTAGCTTTGATTTGAAGATGACGTCATACAAACTAAGAGTACAAACTATTTCTGAGATTTCATGGGTGCTTCTGCACATTTAAAATCCCTGTCAGTGATGGAACATTTTAGAGACCGAGGGCCCAAACTGCAACCCAAAACCCACATATTTATCATCAAGTGCCAGCACTGCAATTAAATCTGAATACTCTGCTGCTGGGGCAATGCCGAGTGCCTTGGCTCACACGGGCCCCAGGTTCACCACTGGCCTACTCACACTGAAGAGTGAACTGCCATTTCTAACCACACTTACGCAAGCTGGCCCTCTCAACCCAACATCCTTTATTTGTGCTTTATGAATTTCAAAATAAAAACCTCATATTTTTAAAAATTCACAACTAATTCAGGAATTCTGTTCTCTTTTGAACTCAAGTTAATGCGATCATCCTATTCTAATATATGTTGGTTTGGTTTCTTATTTGAAGAATAGTGTTTTTTAAACCATTACAAGAACCAAAAAGCCAACACAGGGAATGTCTATGGAATGTGTAAGAAAAAGAAAAAAACGAACAAGACTGGGAGATGGGATAAAGCACCCAATTTCTATTCCCTCCCAAAAATTATTTGAACAATGTACCTAGTTTTCACAGTGTCAGGATTAAAAAAAAATGCCAGAAATATACTTAATTAATTTGTCTTATTTTACACTCATTAACTTGTTCAAAACAATTTTTTGTAAAGCATTCATAGGCACATGCCTAGTCCTATCAACAGGAATGACAGAAACCTTTTGAGTCATTGAGAACCTGCATGATCTGCTTAATTTTTTTTTAAATACACAAAAAGGATTTGAAGCACCGAAACACTGGGGCAGGGGCTTCGATATTTCCAGGACATAGTCTTACAAATGATGCCAACTGGCAGAAAGGAAAAACATACTTAGAGCTTGAGATAGTGTATTTAAAAGAAAAGATTTGACAGCATAAGCAGGTCTGTGGCAGGGAATTCATCTTTGAAAGCAGAAGAGGCAGAGGAGGCTTTGATTTTTAAGTAATAAAGGAGACTTAAGGCTACACATGAAAAGATTCTTGAATTGAAGCTGTTGATAGTCTTGTTTTTTTAAAAAACTCAGGTCAGAATTTGGTATGTCTGAATTCCCAGGAGCCAGAATCAGTCGTTCTTATAAAGTCACAGTGTGGCTTCCGCCAAGGCTGAGAAGGAATTTCGATATCCACGAGGTTCGCTGACTAGGTAGAGAAGCAAAACCTTGAAAGAGATGACCTGAAGGGAGATGAAACACCCAGTTTGAAATGGACAATGAACTTCAGAATATCGACTTAGTAAAAATGGAAAACTTGTATAATTTTAGTGTTTGTAAATTCATGGACTCTAGGCACACAATGAATTTTAGAGAAACCTGGATGAACTGAAGGTTTAGCTCCAAATGAAGGTGAAGGAGGACAAACATTCCCACTGCTAGAGGCAAAAACACAAAGAGCCTGCATTTAGGAAATGAGGGTGACAGAGCTCATCCCTTCAACAAGTATCAACTGCCCCATCACACACAGGCGGCCGGGTACATACCTACAGGAACAATAACACAAGCCCTGCTTGAGTCAGTAATAACAGGCCAGTGAGAGGCTGGATGACCAGAGCAGTGGACATGCTCAATTCTGCACAATATTTCTTGCTGTTTTTGAGGAAGTCCTATGTCCTATTTCCATCTTGTATTCACCCAACTCAAAGTGTAACAGCTACTTGCATTGAAAATTTCTTTCTTCAGGAAGAGCTGAGGTTTAGATAAATCTTTATAACTGTGAAAAAGCCTGAAATCCTTCTGTTCTAGCTCTTTGAGTAGACTGTACCAGAACCGTACAACACTGCTGTCACTGCCGCTGACTTCAAACCCAGGCCAGTGGAGATGAATCTCAAAGATGAGCTGTCCAATCTGCTCAAGGACATCTTCCAGAATAAGATTTTCCAAAACTTTCCATTCTGCGCTTTCCAGATCTGCCTTGAGAACATCAATCTGTAAGACAGCAATGAAATGAAATGAGAAAATTGGATAAACCACTGTTAAATGTGCCATCTTCATATGAGGAACTCATTACAGTTTGGAGCTTAAATGTTTCCCTGAAAGCTTGTACACTGAAGCTTTGTTCTCCAACATAGCAACATTCAGAGGTAGGGCCTTTAGAGTTGAATCATGGAGACCCCGGCCTCATAAATGGGTTGACTTAAGGATTCACAATCTAATGGACTATTTCAAGGTGCTGCCTAATTGGAAGAAGTAGAATCACTGGAAAAGGGATGTCCTTGAAGATTATATTTTATCCCTGGCTCCTTCCTCAGTTTTTCTTTCTCTGCTTCCTGGCTGCTGTTTAGTGAGCAGCTTGCTCTGCTATATGCTCCACACCATGATGTTCTTCCCTGCCACAGGCCTGAAAACAACACAGCCAAGTGACCATGGACTGAAGTTTCTGAAACTGTAAGCCAAAATAGATCTACCTTCCTTTAAGTTGATTTAACTCAGATATTTTGCCACAGTGGTGCAAATATGACCAACAAAGAGTTTCACAGTTCTCCCAGCGAAACAAAATCTTTTAAATTTTAAAGTTGGAGGTTGTTTTCCAGTGGCCCCCAAAGACGTGAAGTCCCTACATCATGTCATACCAAATGCTAATAATATACAGATGATGAAATGTCAGGTGGCAATCATAACAGACCTAAGACAGGATAACAGGATGGGGAACACTCCTGTGGGGAGGGACAATCCCAATACAGTGACTGTCATCATTACTATACACAAAACCAATCAGAGACTTGCTCTTTTCAATCCTTCATTTGCATGTGGGTACAACCAATCAAAGATACCAGTCCTGATCCTTCATTTACATGTAACAAGAAGTGAGTTGTCTGACAGGAGAGTTTATATGTGCCATGACACCAAGTGAGTGTTCCACAGGCCTTTCTCAATCCCCTATTTGCATAACAGAGAGATAACCCAGGAATTTGGAGCACAAAAGACCCCTTTCCCTTATCCTCAGGACCACTGTGAACCTTTTCACTGCCCCACTCATATTCCACAGAGCACAATTTTTTTCTGCATGTCTCAACCAATTCTTTGTTCAGAACACCAAGAACATAGAAAAAAAGCCCCACAGAACTCTATCTGGTAACAGACCCTCTTGGCTTCTGCCCAATAGGAAGTTGGAGTGCACGGATCATGGAGCTCCATGCCCACATCTCTCCCCACAGTTTGTACACCACTGCAGAGGACCCGGCCACGCCCTGAATGGTGGGCACGTGGAGGCACTGAAGAAGGTCACTGCCTGCAGGGACCATCTCTCAAATCTCTTTGCCCTCTAACTCCATCAAGACCCAAAGCCAAGGAGAGAATTCTCAGATATCTAAATATTACATTGTAGAAAAATTGCTATTCTTATCCAGTTGTAACCAGCACTGCAAAATGGAGCTTTAAATTTGAGATATTTTTTTCCTTTGGAGACAAGGGGCTTTTCCAAACCTCCTCAGGCCTATGGCAAAAATAGCCGTCCCTACCCCTCCACAGCCCTGATAAATGGGCAGAACATGAAGGTGCTGGCCCAGGAGGCAGGAGCCCAGTGTCCTTCCCACGGGGAAAGGGACAATGAGCTGAAGGTGGCTGGAGGAGACACAGCAAACGTGGAGAGCTGCATTATCTTTCCTTGTTTATACTCTCTGCTCCTTCCTGAAGCCCCTTACCCATCCGTGCACAGAGAGGTCATGATTTGAGGCAAATGGGCCCCTGTATCTCCTGGGAGATAGCTTTGAATAAATTTTTTTTCCTTTTTTACCAAAATAAATAGAAAATAAATAGCTTCTTTTAATTTGATCAGTAGCAAACAAATGAACCTGAGCATGTAAGTGGCCGGGAACACTATGATTTCTTTTAAAAGTATATGCCAGCATAATAGAAAAAAGTAACACAATCCCCTGTCCACTTAAAGAATATAAGTTTCTATCCAAGGTGAGAAGAAATAAAGGGGAAAATGGGATGGTAGAGAAATATTTTACAATTAATCAAACTACAAGCTCCTTCCATCTGGCTATATACAAAATTGGTTAGAATAACAGAATACTCGTTGCTTTCAGAAAGCAATGAAAATAGGGCTGAGGGTGTAGCTCAGCAACAAGAACTTAGCATGCATGAGGCCCTGGGTTAATCCCCAGCACCACACACACACACACACACACACACACACACACACACACACACAGAGTAATGAAAGCTAACCCTCACCAAACTACTTGTATGTGGCTAACATAAATCTAAGAACTTTGCAAAACCAACTTAATCACATCTCAACAATGCTACAAAGGTGACTTTGTTAGTACCCTCAACTAACACTTAGAAAAGTGGGCTCTGAGTAACCATCTTAGTTACAAAGTGGAGAGGTGGTGGTGAAATCTGAGCAGTCTGCCTACTTTATGCTATCTTTTAACCACTATACAAGCTTTTCTCCCAACAAACCACAAGAGGAAAAAATGGTAACTCAGAGTCCCAAAGAGGTTTGAGTTTGGAAAATAAAATGCTATTTGCAGAATTAATATGGGCCTGGGAGTAAAGTGTTGTCAACCTTATCACTACATTCCATCTGCAGAACACTTTTCAAGGGGGATCATTTTACTGCACAGAGGAAAGCTGACAGCATTCAGACACAATCTGGGAGGGAGTCATTGCAAAGGAGCAGAGGCTGTCGTCCCAAGAGCTGACAGCAGAACCTTAAATAGCTCTTCCATAAGATGTCAACTGGTGTCACTAATATTTTGCCCTATGAAAGGGAAAGTAGCTCCTAGTGCCTATGAAAACATTCATTGTATGACGTCAGAGTTGAGTGGAAGAGAAGAGGCATAAAATTTACATAGAACTGCTCACAGAAAGTGAGTTTTGCCTAATGTCCTGTGGCTAGGAGAAATAGCTTCACATCCTTGCCACCGATTATCATGGTCCACCAAAAAAAAAAAAAAGTATAACAGTAACCATCTCAAGAACACTGACACACTTTTGCAAGAGACTAGATGTCTGTAAACCAGTTTGTGAGGGGCCGGAAATGTAGCTCAGCGGCACAGCTCGTGCCTGGCAAGCACAAGGCCATGAGTTTGATTCCCGGTGCTGGGGGAAAAAAAAAACAAAAAATAAATAAATAAATAAATAAAATAAACACATGGAGGATATTTGTAAAAAAAACAAAAAACAAAAAAAATCCAGTTTGTGAGTCAATGATTCCAAAATCACAGGGAAAAACTAGAAAAGAAAAACCTTTCCACATGAAAACAAGCATGGGAACACACACCAGCCTAAATTAATTCTTGTGAATTGGACCCAAGGAAATTAATTCACTCTTTCTTCCATCTCCACTGCCCTGCCACTCCCCTGGCTTTGTTTCATCTTGGCAGCTTTAAGCAGAATATTCTTGGATTAAAGGTAATTAAGCTGCCAAAAGAAATATTTAATCAAAATTGCACAAAATGTTCTAATTAGAACATTTAAAATCAGCATTTGTTGTATCAATACCCATAGCCAAGAATTTCTTAAGTTCTTTACATATTTAATTTCATCCTGGTATTCTACGAGTTTGTATATGATGAACGGCATTAATAAATCAAAGTATTAAAAGGATAGGGCAAAGTTAATCAGCTTAAAAACTATCCCAGTTAGGTATAGAGGAATATACTTTATATATTTTTCTAACCATATCTTTAAAATAAACTATCAATCAAAAGTTATGAGCAACTAGGCTAAATTGTAGCAAATATATATTTTCTTTAAAAATCAAATTTTTATTCCCAAAATGCAAATCCATTCTAAAGAGCAAAAGGTATTTTACTTTTTAGCTTTTTAGTTTCTTGTTTTAAAAACATTTTTATTAGTACATGTTTATAGTACATAATGTAATATATTCATTGTAGGGAACTGATGCCTGTGCATAACACATTGCAATTCTTTTTTCCCTTCCCTCCACCCATTCTTTGGCAGTATCAGATTCATTTATTTATCTTATAAGTCCTTATAAAGTTAATTATCAAATATGCAGGTTAAACACCGGAATAATAGGCAAAAGGTATTTTCAAATATGCCAATCTAAATCAGTAAGCGAGGAGACCATGAGCTCTTTCTGCCTCCCAGCCTGAGAGCACAGACAGCCAGAATGTGGGGAACAAACACGTTTTTCTCTCCCAGCATGCCTTTTCTATTTCCTCTACTTCAGAATATCCCATTACATTACTATTTTGTAATTTCCATTTTTACCTCATAATACCTCCAATATTATTGCTATCATACAACACTGAACATTTGCAAATAAGATATGCCACTTTTCAGATTCTAAGATCAGTCTTCAACAATTATAGCACTAAAAACTGTGCCAATGATTATACTGGAATAATCAAGTGCCAACCCTGTTACAGTTTGGTTAAATTGGATTCGTATAAAGAGTTAACAAAGCATCAACTCCTTGGAAACTCTGGAGTAAGTGAGGATATTCATAGGTAGAAGGGTCTCAAAGATGATAGATGAAACAATAATTTGAAAACTATAATTTCAAAGGTGTTAAAGGAGTTTCCCTTTAAATATTATCTCCTATTCCATGTGCCTGAAATACCCAATAAATTACATTTCATAAAGCTTTTTGAGGAAAGGAGAATTTTAATTTTAACTGGATTAAGATGGGAAGCCATCCAACAGCTTCCTTATCATAGGCCACAGTTTATCCCTGGGATCACCAATCCAGATCTGCAGCGTGAGATGAAAGGGGAAGTAGGGGTGGATGTTTGAGCGAGCCTCCTGGGCCTCTCACATCAAACACCTCAGACTAGGTGCCTTGACCACCAGAAAGGTATGGAGAACCCTTCCTGGTTCTCCTTGCAGCCCAGGAAGTTTGTATTTGTAATCCCATGAAAAGTTATTGGCATTCTAGGGAGTTAATTCCAACCTACCACTGCCAGTGCAACCCACGGTGAGAACATAGACACTAAGGCATATCTGTA